TATTGCCTGTGCTGGGAAATCGTTGATCAGTTTCCAAATTTTTTTTGACATTTGAATCCTAAACCCTGATTAGTTGCAAAACAACCAAAGTAATGGCTAGCTAGGTATTGTATAGAAAAGACAGACAAAGTAGGGCAGCAAATGAGCCGAGTTGAGTTTACCCCAACTTGAGTTCGACTGGTTAATAAAAGAGTCGAGCTTGAGCTCAGTTCGTTTATTAACCAGTCGAATCAAGTCGAGTTCGAGCTAGTTTGTTTACTAAAATCTTAATTTTTATTTGGTACTTCATTTCGTATATCATGATACATATGATTTATTTTGTTAGCTAATCTCATATTATATTTTATTTGTATCATATATCATTTAGTTAATAAATTTTAACTACTCCAAATCATGTTATTTCATAGTATCGAAGCAATCTATGATACATATTTTCTTTTTAAAGTAGAAAATAAGATATATTTGCTCACATATTCAACGTGTTACTTTATATATGGTGAGATATATAATTTAACAATCATATGAATTAAAATCATAAGATATAAATTGATTCGTCCATAAGTCGGTAATCGAGTTGGCTCTCTAGCCACATGTTGAGACATATCATGAGCTCTAAACGAGCGAGCTTCACGAGCTGAACAAAGTTTAGCTCAGGTTCGGCTCGTTTATTAACGAGCCGAATTTCGAACGAGCTTTTCTCGAACCGAACGCCAAACCACTCGCGAGCAGCTTAGCTTATTTGCAACCCTATTCCGTGGCCGTCCGATTGATTAGAACGTTGGGAAGCACATTCACCACTACCCGCAAAATATGGAGATAGTTGCGCAAACCCAAAGTCATGTTAGCAACCATAGTCAGTGTAAATTTAATATACACAACCCGAACACAGGTGGCTTGGATAACAAAATTGAAAAAAACTAAATTTGGGTTAAAATTCTCACAAATTGTGAATTTGTCCAAACACAGATTATTATTTATTTTAAATTTCGTGAAATCATAGTAAAAGTAAAAATTGTATTTTTGTTTTCACAATTAGTTATTTATTTTGTATAAAAATATATCAGCACTAAGGGCTGAACCATGATCTCTTTCAACAAAGACAAGAAACATAATCAATTACACTAAACAAAAACGTTGTACTTTCTATTAGAAAACAAAACATATATGAAGTTAAAATCTGAAAAACAGATAACTTTTGCATAACGATGAGCTAGCTCACTAAGTCTCCTATAAGTATCTTTATGGTGTTTGATACTTCAATTTTCATATTCGATTATTTTATTTCTAGACTATCCTCCAATCTATAAAATATATGAAGGAGATTCATAGGTTAAATTATCTCAATTTCAAATATCCAGCAACCATAGTGAATTTTGGAAGGAAAAAAATGTCATTTACCACACTTCAAATGGAATGCTTCGTTTAATCATTTATGTTGGCCTTTAAATTTGTCGCACTGATTTCAGCGTTTCCGCTAGGCTTTAAATTCGCTGGGTTCTATTTCACTTTCTAATTTATTTTTTATTTTATTGTTATGCCGCTGTTGGGACGCAAACTCACTCAACCTCTAAACCTGGATAAGAGGAAACAAAGAAGCGGAAATCTCATAGCCATAACTCTGGCACCAACTCGGCCGTTCTTGGGACCTCTCCATGGAGCCTCGACACCTTTCCTGCCAGACAAAGCTAATCAAGGAGCACCATAGAGGTCCAATAAGTCTTCCCATAGCCGTGTTTCGCTTTGCAACCACACCTGCATATGAGAATCTGAGATCCCAGGAGCTGCTACTGAAAAAATTACCAACTCAGCTAACAATAGTCCTCGAGAAACAACATTCGAAAAACAAATGATCTCAGGTCTCACTATTGGCATGGCATAAAATGCATCTATCTTCCTTTAATTTACCCCACCACATCAACTTTACCTTGGTTACTATCGCATCCATGGCCACAATCCATGCTATGATACTCCAACGCGGCACATAGAATTTACTCTAGAGAAAAGCATACCAGTGTTATATGCTCTTCGCAGGATGTATCGTATCCTAGACTACGCTCACTAAGTAGTTGGGCATCATTTACCATTCCAAAAGACTTCATCACCCTGCTTTCTCATAAACGTCTGAACAGTTGGCCGAAACTTCAGAATTCGTCTCCACGCCCAATCTTCTCTATTTTTACCTGTCAAACAACAAAAAGATGGTGTTTTCATAAATCCTATAATCAAACCAAGCTACACATGAATGAAAATGTAAGTTATTATTATTCTAATAAAATCCCCAATCTTGAAGATTCCAATATCATTTTCACTTCCATAATATATATGGTACTAATCGTTGGTTAAAATTTACTTTAATCTAATTTTGGCCTTTAGATTAATCTAATAGTTTTATTAGTTCGTATTAAAATGATAATTTAATATGATTTGGATTATGATATAAAACCCAAACATTAAAAAAAAACTCTACAAAATCCCAACTATAGAACCATTTATCGAACAAACATATATTTTTAACAACAGAAAAAAGAAAAAGAACAAAATATGTTTCTTGTTCTGGATTTTTTCTAGAGAGCTTTAACTACGTTAACTCTTTATTCCTACTAGAATTCATAGGAATTGTAAAAAGAAAAGGAAAGAGATCTAACTTTTTATTTTTAACAATTATGATATTAATTTAATTATAGGAGTTAATACCTATTCCATTTTGTGTGATATTAACAATTATCATAATTAAATGTTCATTTATAAAATAAATTATTAATGATATTATGAACATCAATAATATGAACAAACAACATTAATAGACAACTGTGATATTGGATCATACTGTTAACAATCAAATGATGTATTGTTAATAATCTACAAATGGAAATGTTGCCAACAGAAGCAAAATTGTTAACCATATATATCTCATATGAACGGAAAGTAGCCAATGAACGAAGTCACTGAAGCAATTAACACTAAAGTCTTAATATCAACAATTGATAAAATGAAGCTTCCAAACTTTGACATCGACTGCAGCGGAAGAATAAGATGACGAACATATACGAAGCAACGACGAAATTTATCGGATCTATTCACCGTGATTAACGATATCAGCTTCGTCTAATGCAAATTCGTCCTATCTGAAAATGTTACTTGAATGAAGTGGAAATAGGGTAACCAAAATTTCATTTTGGAAAGAAGCAAATGTGTCGGATCGAGTGAGAAAATAGAAAGGTACAAAATGGGAGGTTCCGACGGTTTGAATGCGGTAGAGAAAGAGAGAGATTGAAGTTTCACATTTTTATTTTTTAAATGGTCATAGATAGAATTGTGTTGATATTATTTGGTGGTTGTGAATATCTTTTTTCTATATGCTATAGTTTTGTTATTTGTTTTGTAATATGTAACATATTAGTTAAATGATCATAGATAGAATTGTGTTGATATTGTTATGTGGATGGGGATAAGGGTTAACTCATGGCGATGAACACAGACTATAAATTAATGGTTTTTTGTTTCATGAATCAGACCTTCAAATTCGCAGGTCATAATTTTTTTTTTTTTGTCTATTTCTCTTGCTTTTGGCTATCTAACTGACTAGGAAACACAAGACTTTTCTCATGTACAACTCTTACTGGATTTCTTGATATTGAATTTCTCGTAATGAACCTCTTTTTGACAATGTATTTAACTCTCATCTTCAAGCTCGCTCATCTCCGGCAAGTGTTTAAGATTACAGATGGCGGTATTGTCTCTTTTTATATCTAATTATCTTTCCCTATGTTTCTTTTGGGAGCATAATTAAAGGCTTTTGTTTCACATATTAATATGCTATGAATTTTGGGGAGAACAAGATGCAACATGAAAGCACAAAGTTACTTCAACATTTGGTCTTCAAAGTGAGCTCCCATGTATTGAGCATTTGAGATCAATTTGCTCTTCATTGCCCACTGTTTTGTCTACCTCTACTTTCACATTAAAATATTAATAATGAAGTATAACTTCTGCGGTGCACAAAATACTCATTTGATTTTCTTTTATGCCTCGAGCCCTTGACTTATGTTAAGAATGCTTACTCTGAATCTTGGTACTAGGTCATTTTCTAGTTTCTCTAACAGCTTCTAAAACGACACTCTCATGCATGGATGCAAAATGGTCACAAATTCTATAGCATATTATTTTTTGAAAAATAAGTAAGGTTAGTGTTGTATCGATGGTGGTTTTCACGTCATCGCAGTACATCTTCAACATGCCAATTCATATTGTTGATCAATCTCTAATGCAGCCTATATATTCTTTCAAATGATATAATTTCATATCTATAATGTACCGTGATGAATAAAGATGGTAACTATTGGGGAAAAAAAAGATTTGATTAAACTACATGAATGAACAAACATTTACTTTTATGATTAAGATTGAATTTTGTGTGTGTAATGGAAGAAAACTCTCATATTGTCCTGCATGAAATACAAAATAATTAGACACTATTTACTTTCTAAATATTGCTATTAGTTGTTTATATCTGTTATTCATTTCAATTTATTTTTTTCTCTATATTAAAAAATTATATATTATATATTATAAATGACAACAACACATCAAAATAGGCTAAATTACACATTTGGTCACCCAAATTATATAAATCTTTCATGTTTGCCATCTGAATTACTTTTCTTTCTTATTGACCACCAACTTTACGAATGGTTTTACAGTTAGTCACTGGCCGTCACGCTCCGTTAAATTTGTTCTACGTGGCAGTCAACTATAAAGTTTGACCGTTAACTAGATGACATGGAAATTAAAAAAATTAAAAAATCATTTATTTTTCCACCTCATCATTCCACTTACTTTGTCAATATGATTTATCATATTAATTATTTAATAAAAAGTAATAAATTACAAAAAATATTTATCAGCGGGGGCAAGAAATTGTAGAGGAATGGCAGCTGGACTTTTCCAACACCAACGCCAACTCGGTGAATTCCTCTTCGGCCAGCGAACCTCCTTTCCCAATGCCACCCACGTACATAACTAAGTTGACTCATTGCTTGTCGAGCCACTCCTTAATCTTTCTCCATACGGCCGCGTCAACTGCCTTACCATCATCCAACTCTCCATTCGCCACCGACGGCAAGAGTCCGGTGGCGGGTACAATCCTCTGTTTGTGTCAGATCGAGAAGGTCGAACCACTCTGGTTCGAATACCGACGAGCTTCTTACAATCAAGGCATCGCTCTCCTCAACGGCGACACTGAACTAAATTTGATCGGACGACCGCGAGGAATCATCCTCGGTTTTCTCCACGTACTTCGTGACCTCGTGGAGACGATACGCTCGGATTCGAACGACACCCAATCGGGGGACACCGTGAAATTCTCTGCCCTCAACCGTGTATCTCCAACCCCGGCGTGCCGGTTAACGAGATTGTCGTTGCGGTTAAGAGACTGAAGAAGGCGCAATAGATCTGGCGGCCGGTGCTCGCAACTTCTGCGGCCTCTGCAATTTCTTCTTCCCACTGATAATTTTTGTAATATATTAATTTTTATTAAATAATTAATATGATAAATCATATAGACAAAGCAAAGCAAGTGGAATGATGAGGTGGGAAAATAATTTTTTCTATTTTTTTTTAATTTCCACGTCATCTAGTTAACGATCAAACTTTATAGCTGACTGCCACGTAAGACAAATTTAACGGAGTGTAACGGCCGGAACTAACTGTGAAACAATTCGTAAAGTTAGTGGTCAATAAGAAAGAAAAATAATTTGAGTGACAAACGTGAAAGATTTATATAATTTGACTGACCAAACGTGTAAATTAACTCATCAAAATATATAATAATCAAACTTTTCCGACCACTAGTTCTTTTAACTTGAGTTCTGACATAAATTTTTTTTATCAAATCATCATTACCAAAAGTCCATTTTTTTAGGCAGGCCAAACATAAAATATTTAACCTAAATAATGGGCAATGCGAGATTCCACCCAGATGCATCCAAATGACTAACAATTCCATCCGAAACAATTTTCCCAAACACCGAAATGAAACTATAGCAGGTAAAAAGAAATAGGGTAAATACAATTTAATATCCAAACCTTTCATTTTAAACAATATAATAGCCAAACCTTTTCGAAAACAATTTATTATACAAATCGTCAACTTTCCGTCCGTTTGACCATTAGTTGACACTCCATCAAGTTCGAAGTACGACACTTCATCAATATCCATCGATATCTTCTCTGAAAAACCACCAATATATCGTGGTTCCAAACCTTAGAAGTCCATGACTCCACCATGATGGTATAGAATATCTAAATATTCAGTCATCTGCAATGCTAAAACAAGAAAACAAAGTTGTATTGTGACAATTTCCCGTAAACAAAACTTTTTTAAGTGTCAACTAACGGTCAAACAGACGAAAAGTTGACGATTTGGATATTAGATTGTTTTCGAAAAAGTTTAACTATTATATTGTTTAAAATAAAAAATTTAGATATTAAATTGTATTTACCAAAAGAAATATACCAAACTGGGGAATCAATCTATCTTTCTTTGGTCAGATGATTCTTTTCTTTTCACGATGCCGAACAAATTATTAGCTTTCCTTTCCCTTCCTTTCTTTCTTTCTACAACAGCCACTCCTGAACGTGGGGTGGAGACAGGAGGAGGGAAGAGGCGAGATTACAATTATACATTACGTAAATAAAATAAAATAAAATAAATACAATGAGAAACCGCCTTTTTTTTGCGATCGATTTCTCACATCTCCACTCCATCCCTTTTGCCGCAGATCAGAACCAGATAGTTTATCGGTACTCGTCTTTGTCAATTAAATTATGAATAAATAAATAAAAGAAACGAATAATAACAAAAACAACAATTAATAAATTTAAAGTAATTGTTCCTTTCTCCGATTTTGGAGTTTGGGTACCTTTCAAAAGTTAGTGGGGTTGCAGTTTCCGAATATGCTCCAACAACGAGTCGGCCTTTCGCTTCGCCCTCTCCCTCCCGCTCTTCGCAAGCTCAGTCAACGGGACGACAGCTCCCAGCCGGCTTACGCACGCCAGATTCTCCGCATCCCTCCTGCACAGCGACAGCAATATCGACGCCGCGTTCTCCTTCCCCCTCGGCTGCCCGGTTCTCAACAGATCGATCAGCACCGGGATCGTGCTCGCCTTCACGATCGCTGCTTTCGCTTCGACGTTGCTCGATAGCACCGACAGTATCGTCAGTGCCTCGTCCACCATCGCCGCCGCCCCTCTCGAATCAGTCAGCATCCGGAGCAGCGCCGGAACGATCCCGGCTCGCACCGCCCTGCCTTTGTTCCCCTGGTAGATGCACAGGTTGAACAATGCCGACGCCGCGTCTTTCTTCCCTCTGCTGCTCCCCTGCTCCAGCAGCTCCACTAATGCGGGAATCGCCCCCGACGCTCCGATTATGATCTTGTTCTCGTCTCCCAGGGACAAACTGAATACGGTTGCTGCCGCGTTTTCTTTCGCCTCCACGCTGCCGGCTCGAAGGACCTGGACTATGGAAGGGACTGCGCCCGCGAGCATGATTGCGCCCTTGTTGTTCTCGTAGATTGAGAGGTTCAATATGGAGGTGACCGCATTTTCTTGGGTGGCAACGTCGTCGGAGGCTGTCAACAGGCCGACGAGAACAGGGATGGCTCCTGCTTCGGCGATGAGGATTCTGTTATCCGTGCTTCGTTTGGATAGGATCCGTATCTCGTGAACTGCAGCTCGACGCTCCTCGACCGACCGGCTCGAAAGCTTGCGCACCACTGATTGAACTGCAGCGCTGTCTCCTGCGCCCGTGTCGCGGAATGATCTTCCGTCGCCATTCTTTAGTCTGCCGGCGTTGGTGAACCCCGTCGGCTGCTCGATGTTGTGCTTGGCGCACCACTGAGCTATTAGGCTTCTCAGGACGTAGTTGGGCGTCAATGTGGAATGTTGCAGCTTTTGCTGGGTTTTGGGGCATGTCTTGTTGCCTGCGTCTACCCATCTCTGGATGAAGGATCTCTCATAAGTCTGAAAGGATTATAATGAAAACCATCAATCAAAGTTTGAACTCCAACAGCAAAAACGATGGAGAATCGATTAAGAACTACTACTCTATCACTGTCTGAGATATATACCTGGCCTGTGGCGACAATGACCGGATCTCTCATTAGCTCCAAGGAGATGGGACATAGAAAATCGTCCGGGATGGTGGGGGCATCAGACTTCTTTAAGTCTTCGAGACTCATCTTTCTACCTGAGCTATTAATCGGCTTCTCCTCTCCTTGAACCTGATCGGCATCGTTGCTTTCCACTGCCGCAGCAGCGACATTATGATTCACACATCCAAAATTCTCAATTTTCCAGCTACGATTCAATCTACTGTTGTTACTCCTGGCCTTTTGTGTTAGATAAATCTCTTTGCCTAAAGGTTGCTGGGCTGGCGCGGCGGAAGAGATTGTCTCGGCATTCACAGACCTGTATCTCTCCGATGCTCTCTGCAGTTGTGATCTCACCAATGCAACCTAAAGCAGCAACAATAGCGACAGAGACTGCAGCCTGTTATTGTACAGAGCTCCACACAAGCAGCAAAGAAGAACTGAAAACAAACTACGGAAAGCAAGCACACACCTGTTCTTGTACTTCCTCTGAGATATTGAAGCGATCGAAAGGGATATCAGCCAAGGCCTTCTCGAGCTTGCACGTTACGGATTGGAACTGGAGTGCGATCTTACTGTGAGCTCCATCCTTGAATCAACAGTAGCAGCAGAAAACTTCAGACTCGAAACAATTCAGAAGAAGAAGAAAGAAAAAAAAAATTCTCTAGACTCGATTTTCACCTCCGTTTCCTCCGAGAAATGCTCTGGACTCAATTACTGAGCAGATAGGAAAATCGAAATTTTCAGACGATTGAATCAAAGAGGAAGAGAATTGGGGGAATCCGGTGCTTACAGAATGGTTAGAGGATTTGGAGCTGCCAGCAAACAGCAACAACAATCGCTTAGAAGACTGAAGAGCGGCGAGCAGGGCGGAGCACCAGCTTCCGGTAGCGCAAGAACTGGAAGCAGCAGGAGCATCGCCATCCAACGGTCCAGATTCGCCGGCGAAATCCGCAATCTCATCGAGCAAATGCGCCAGCAGCGAAATCCTCCGCACTAGATCAGTGGAATCCTTCCTGAAAGGACCGGTGGTGGTGGTGGTGCTCGACGCCTGGGCGGCGGCACAGGCGTTCCCGCCTCCTCCGAGAAGAATAATGTCTCGGACGAGCTGGAGGAGGAGTCCCGCAGTAGGAGTGGCGTGGTCAGGTAGTACTAAAGGACCGCCTCCGCCTCCGCCGTCGGGCATTTCGGGGGTTGAAACGCCGGCTACCGGAATAGGAAGGCCAAGGGGGGGAGAGGAATGGAATAGCTTCAGACAGTGTGTGTGGGGTTGTGAATGAGAGAGAAATAGGAAGGGATTTCCGCGTGTTGTGGATTTGAAGGATTAAGGCAGAGATTCTGGTGGTAAGAAAAAGAAAAAAAAATTAAATTATATTTGAGGGGAAGGCCGAACTCTGAAGGGTGAACGCCAGGGATGGCAACAAAATCTGAACTTACGGGTACCCTACCCGACCCAACCCGGTCGACGTGGGTAAAATTCGTGTTGACGGGTTTTGGGTTGGGTTTGGGTTAAAACTCGCTATATTGTTCACGGGTTGGGTTGGGTTGGGTTTAGGTATACCCGGCCCATGGGTACCCGCCCACACCTAAATAATTTATTTTCCCAGTATATTTAATATTCTAAGCAATATATCTTCCTTAAACAATTAATCTTTTTTATGTTTGTGGAGACATGTCTAATTTACTCTTTCTAATTGTGTATAATGAAGTTGATATTATGGTGTGGAGAGTGAAAATTGAAGAAGTTTAGTTGACAAGGAGAAAGAAGCTTTCAATTAATCATGTTTTTTTATAGATGTTCATCTTTAATTTTGAACAATTTGTATTGATAATTTGCGGTTTACTTGTATGCTCTAAATTAGTATTTTTTGTATGGATAATTTGTATGAGAAAATTTATGTTAGACTTTTATTTTGAAAGAAACTTGTCATTATAAATTTTTTACACAAAAAACCCATAGGTACCCATGAACCCGCGGATAACAAGCGGGTTGGGTTGGGTTTGAGTTTTTCAAACCCAATGAGTTTTACTCCGAAATTTTTTAGCGAATATACCCATGAATTTGAGTTCGGGTTTGGCAAAACCCGACCCAACCCGACCCATTGCCATCCCTAGTGAACGCCGGAGAAGGGGCAGCCTTGTTGAAGGTGCGTTGTTGGATTTCTTTTTGAGTTTTTTTTTAAATAATTTGTATTGGTTCTCTCTTCTTGTGTCTAATTACTATTATTTTTACTCAATAGGGATTTTATATAATAATGAATTTAAGTTTGAATACTGGGATGGCTGAAATGGGTGACGACACTGACATGTACAATGTCTTTTTCTCTTGGCCTTCTTTTGGGTTTGGTCTAATTACAGCAAGAATTTACAGCTATAATACACTGTGACTGGATGGATATTCGCAAATAAGTGTTCAACTTCAACGACACTGTTACACAAGAAAATACGTGAAGATGTTAGGTTTATGGTTTTTTGACAAAAACAATATATATAATATACAGTATTAGAACAACTGAAAAAGTAACACAAGGTAGAATGATCGACAATAATGTCACTCCCTCCAAATATTGGACCTCGATAAAAATTTGGTCGTTCTATGGATTGTCTCTTATTTGTTTTACTATTCAAGTTCACATTTATTTTGTAGTCTTGGTAGTGTTATTTGTTTGTTTTATCTCTATTCCCAAATTTAGTATTAATTTAACTTTATAGACTATATTAACAAAGATGATTGTCGAATTCATGGTATCTCAAAATTCTTTTTTATTTTAAATTTAAGGCTAATATAATGGTTTTGAGCCTACGTGCAATCTCATATGACATAGGATGATTTTCCAAAATACAAGGGTTACAAAAAAGAAATCTCACAATACAATACTTTGAAAAATATTTCCCAAAATAAAATATTTTTGGACTCTTCGCTGCGCAGTCAAACGAACTAAGAAGTGTATCGTGGGAGAGAAGGGCAAACCAAATGAAGATCGCAGCAAGTGCAAGCGATCCAGTTGTGCGCACTGGAGCTACGTGATTGGTAGATACCTGACAACACGAATTGCAGGAGAAGGGTTACTATGCAAATCGATAATGCGGAGCACGTTATCAACAGAACAAAAATGGATGCTAAGAAGAGATGCTCTATAATCAACAAAATCCCTCCATAGTAGAGTCCAATTGGGGCTCCTCCGAATCTCCTATGTCATTTGGATGTTCAAACGGTGTGGTTACCGTGGTTACCGTCTTAACCGATAGTATTTGGTTAATTTGGATAAATGGTTTGATTTGATTAAATTTTTTAGTTTGTTTGGTTTAAGTGGTTTGGTTTCAGACCCTTTGGCGGGCTGTTAATATACTAGGGGGATTTTCCCCAACTTGGTGGGTGTGTGTTGTGTGTGTGAGAGAGAGAGAGAGATATTTCCGACGACCGGAGGAAATTTCTCGGAGACAGTGTTGGATTTGTGATGTTTGCTGACCTATTTTGTAATATTTGTATAGATTCGGTTTGTATTGTTTGTCATTTTTAGTGACATTTTGTACGGTTATTATGCTTTGTACTGTTTGTTGATTTATTTTATAATGTTTGTACGCTTTGTTATTTTGTAATGTTTGTCGGGGTTTTTTTTAATGTTTGTAAACTTTGTTATTTTTGTGCACCATGTTTATCATTTTTGTCAACCATGTTTGTAATGTTTTTACAACCTGGTTGACTTTTGGATGGAACTCCTCTATATAGAGATGAAGCCTCCAAAGTCAACTCGGGTGTTTTTTCCAGTTCTTATGGATTGTCGGTTTAGTTTGACATTTTTGTTGTATGTATAAAAAACAACCGGGTTGACTTTGAGACGGATCCCTCTATATAGGGATGAAGCCTCCAAAGTCAACCCGGGTGTTTTTCCAGTTTGTATGAATTTTTTGTCTAGTTTGTCATTTTTGTCCACCATGTTTGTATGTCTAAAAAACACTCGAGTTGACTTTGGGAAGGAGCCCCTCTATATAGGGATGGAGCATCCAAAGTCAACCTGGTTGTTTTTTCTTTGGGCTAATACCACTGGGAATCCCGAACTATTAACTTTGTGCCATTTGTGTTCTAAAGTATTCGATATGACAATTGTGTCCTAACGTTTGGTAGTTTTGTGTCATATACGTCCTGACAATTTCGTTGACCGTTATAGATAACGGTTGACCAAACGGTCAACCATAAAATGTTGATTGTTGGTTACATGGCACATATGTGGCAGCCACATCTGCGCCACGTCAGCTGCCACATCAGAATATTATTTTTAAATTAAAATTAAAATTAAATAAAAATAAAAGCTAATCTCTTTCTTCCTCATCTCATATTCACCATAGCCGCTCAAATTTTGAAACACGATGGACAGGGGAAAGATTTTGTTCAACCTCGCTACAAAGAAGGAATTGTGTGTGGGAGATCGATCCACTGGGCCTCCCAATCATGACCCTGCAATCACGCTCCTCGCCCTTCCCGCCGCCGCGGCCCGACCTAGCTGCTCGTCCTCCCCTTGCGCTCCTCCCTCTGTCAGAGCGAGAACAAGCTTGCTCCTCCCTCCGCCAATTCCAAATCGACTGCGCTGGTGGGAGACCCTTCTCCAAATCTCCACCTCCTTTCTCCCTCTTCCTCTTATCTAGCCTGCAAAATATGCCGCCGCCACCGCCAGAAGAATCGCCGCCGGGATGTGAGGATGCCATGGATTATTCCTCGACCCTCGTTTTCGTCTCCATGGGTAATATCTTGGAGGGGATCAAGGCGACCCGCTTGCAATCCCTAATTTCGAGTTTGGGGATCTGGACGGGATTGACGGCAGAGAGATTTGCTACTTGTCGGGACCTGCAACTGGAGAAAGGGGTGTTGCTGAAGTGGGGAGCTGAGTTCGGAAGGACGCTACGGATTTGTATGGTCGCTGGTTGGTGGGATTTGTCCAGTAAAAGTGAAGAACCGTCGCCGCCGTCCACCCTTGGCAAGTACCCTTCTCCATGCTTTTCCTGGATTTGCGTCAACGGGTGGAAGGGTTGCACGGCTGCCGAAAACCCCAAATCCCACCGTAACAGAGGATGGCGACACGATGAGCTTGGCGGCGACGGGGGTCGATGTTCACTTCGAGGTGCTCTGCGGCGGCGATTATGGAGCGGATAGAAGGGGATTAATTTTAGGGTTGGGAGGAATCCACAAATCATATATGTTTTTGTTTTTTATTTTTGTAATTTTCTTTTTTTTTTATATATGAAAATAATTATAAATTAATATTATGAATTCCACTTCAGATGCCACATCAGCGCTTACTGGATTTTCTGTTAAAAACTAACGGTCAACGCCGGTCAACTCTAACAGAGAAATAGTTTATAACACAATTGTCATATCGAATACTTTAGGACACAAATGACACAAAGTTAATAGTTCAGGTTTCCTAGTGGTATTAGCCCTTTTTCTTTTTGTATGGTTTGTATTGTTTGTCGGTCTAGTTTGTATTTTTTATACACTTCATATGTTTGTAATGTTTGTAAATCTGTTTGTATGTTTTGTCGTTCTAGTTTGCAGTGTTCGTATGTTTGTATGGTTTGTACTGATTGTAAGTTCGGTTTGTATACTTCGTAATTTTCCATAATACCTAAATTACCTCTGTCATTAATTAAATAGTCCTTCCCACTTTTTAACCATTAGATTGCTATATCCAGATCTAAGGGCTGGGAGGGACTTAGTCAAGTGACTAAGCACCCCCTCTAGTCACTGGATCCTCTCTCGGGCTAGTATGCTAGCTCTTTTATTTTTAGCATGATACTAACACTAGCTCCAGGCTCCAACTAATAAGAATATTTCATTTTCATGTCTCTTTAATATAAACTAGCATAAACCCGCTCATTGTCGCATCATATGTGAGAGATAACATGATATTTTAAAGATTAATAGTTTGAATTTTGATCCAAAAGTAAAGGGTTTGTCATTTACAACTTCATGTGGTCGACGCATCTATGAACTTTAATAAGCCAGAAGGGTTGTCGAGCAAATGATTTCTTTGTTAAATCTTCTCTCGTAACACTATTGATTAGTTTATATTCTTTTTGCTTTTTTTCTAAGTTCATTCTCAACCAAAAAGAAGAAAAAACTCACTAAAGCGGATAAAACTCGGTCATGACCCAAAACTCGGCATCATCATGTTCAACTCTCTTTTATCGGGTTGAACCGAGTTTGTAACAAATTGAAAACCGACCCGAGCATACAATTTAAGAAACGTATAAAACGCACACCCGCCCGAGAAATTAATAAACACTAAAGTGGATAAAAATCGCTCACGACCCAAAACTCGGCAACATCATGTTCAACTCTCTTTGATATGGTTGAACCAAGTATGTAACAAATTCACAACCGACTCGACCTGCCAATTACAAAAGCGAAACAAACTCACTCCTTTCTGAAAACTTTTAAACATAGGGTCATTTTTATCAAGTTAAATTAGGTTGGATACCGATAAGTTTGGGTTCTCAAGCAAAAGAAAAAAGATAAACAAAAAACACTAAAGCACATTAAACTCGTTACCCACCAAAAACTCTACACACCAAATTTAACTCGCCTTTACTGGTTCGAACCGAGTTTTTAATAATTCACAGTCGGCTCAACATGCCAATTCTAAAAGAAGATAAAATTCGCTCTCGACACAAAACTCATCAGCACCGAGTCTTGCTTCAATTGTCATTCTCAACAAAAAGGAAACGGAAAAATAAGATAACATTAAACAGGCAAATCTCGCCCTCGATCCAAAACTCGTCAACACCGTGTTCAGCTCGCTTTGACCGGGTCGAATCGAGTTTTTAACAAATTCACACTCGACCTGACATGCCAACTACAAAAGCAGATAAAACTCGCTCTCGATACAAAACTCGTCAATACAATGGGTTTGGGTTTAATTGTCATTCTCAAAGAAAAGAAAAATAGAAATTTAAAATTACTAAAGTCTGTCTCAAGTCGCTTTGACTTAGTCGAATTAGGTTGGGTACACATGAGTTTGAGTTCAATTTTCTTGCTTAACCAAAAGAAAAAGAGAAATAAGAAAACACTAAGAATATAAAACTTGGTGTCGATACAAAACTCAGCAACATAGAGCATGTCGGTATGGACTTTTGGTAGCGGTCTTGGGACACGATGGATGGGTACAACCTAGGATTCAACCGGAAGTATTTTGAGAAATGGTATGGATCTTCGGTAGCGGTCGTGACAAACGATGGAAGATGACAACATATTATTTCGTCGATAGTGTTTCGAGATGGGTTGTGAATTGGTAGGCCAAGGCGATGATTTGGGTGAAAGATTATATACGAAAACCTAATAGATAATTGTTGCAATAGGAAACGCAATGAACAATAGATGAAACCTAATGGGCAATAGATGTAGACCCAACGGATAATAAATTAACACAAAGGTTGTAGAATGGGAGAGTGGGGTAAAAGGTGGAACTTGAAACTTGCTCACTTGCAAGGAGGAGTGTGAGAGCCACTAATGAATAGTAACACCGAACCTTGGCTTTTATATATTAAAATTAATTAATGTCTTGCTTAACCAAAAGAAAAAGAGAAATAAGAAAACACTAAAGAATATAAAACTCGGTGCCGATACAAAACTCAGCAACACAGAGCATGTTGGTATGGACTTTCGGTAGCGGTCTTGGGACACGATGGATGGGTACAACCTAGGATTCCATCGAAAGTATTTCGAGACATGGTATGGATCTTCGGTAGCGGTCGTGACAAACGATGGAAGATGACAACATATTATTTCGTCGACAATGTTTCGAGATGGGTTGCGAATTGGTAGGTCAAGGCGATGATTTGAGTGAAAGATTATAGACGAAAACCTAATAGATAATTGTTGCAATAGGAAACGCAATGAACAATAGATGAAACCTAATGGGCAATAATATATGTAGACTCAGCGGACAATAAATTAACACAAAGGTTGTAGAATGGGAGAGTGGGGTAAAAGGTGGAACTTGAAACTTGCCCACTTGCAAGTAGAAGTGTGAGTAGTGATGGCAATTTCAACCCGCCCCGCGGGTATTACCCGACCTGACCCGCGATGGGCGGGTATTACCCGACCCGCAGTAGCGTGGGGCGGGGCATGGGTATCTACTTCCGACCCGTCCTGCCCCGCCCCGCCCCATTGTAGACTCATTTATTTCAATTTCTTACAATATCTATACATATTTCTCCTATTTTGACTTTTCTTCAACTAGTTAGAGTCGATCTTTCAACTTGTCAGGCTCAATTATCCATTCTATTATCAATATTTTTCATTCTTAAAGTGTTTTTCCCTGCGTTTTATTGTAAAAAGTAAAATTTACTTGTATTTTTTTTTTTGAACAACATGTAAGAGCGGGTCGACCCCCCCCCCCCTCCCCGTACCCGCGCGGGTTTTACCCGCCCCGACCCGTAGTGGCGTGGGGTGGGGCATGGGAATTGAGGTACCCGCCCCGCCCCATTGCCATCACTAAGTGTGAGAGCCACTAATGAATAGAAACTTGCCCACTTGCAAGCCATAGACGAAAACCTAGCTAACAATAACTAAACACAAAGGTTGTAAAATTGAGAGTAGGGTAAAAGAAGGACTTGGAACTTCCTCACTTGCACTTGGAGGAGTGTGATAGCCACTAATGAATAGTAACTCAAACTTAGACTTTTATATATCAACAATATATTAATTAATGTGTTGATCACAATTAATGAGGAGGAAGTGATCGAGGAGCACGCTAGTCGTTAATAAAAATTTGGAAAAGGTAGATCATCGTGTATTGTGCATTTAATTGGGGAATGAATGTGGGAGCACCAAACACAGACCACATACACAAGTTGGGTTTTCGAACTAAGGAACATTTGAAGCTCTGAACTTGAATTGGTTATAAACGCGGCTGTCGCGAGGCTGTCGTTCTTCCTTGGTGACAGCTGCGGCATAGACATAGTAGGGGCACAGTGGGTGGTCTCGGCGGCGAAGAGGTTGATAACAAGCACAGCTTATCCCAGGGGAAATGAAGAGCTCTCTCGCGGGTAGGAGCTTTTGTGTCGCCTTGAGGATTGCGAAGAGAGAGAGAGAGAGAGAGAGAGAGAGAGAGAGAGAGAGAGAGCTTGTGCTTTCTTGGAGCTGTGAGCAGAACGGAGGACTCGTCATTGGCTTTGGAATCCGGTGTTGAGTCGCGATTGTAGAGAGGTGGTAGGAGGGAAGGGGGACGGCTGCTATAAGGAGCAATTAAAATAATACCTCTATAAATAATGTTATCAGAGTGCTAACACTATAGTGAATTAGCACCCTATCCACTCTCGAACTACACTATATGATTGGCTTAATATACTGCTCGATATATCTAACACTAGATCGTATAGAATAGAACTACCCCACACCTATACAAGTTAAATTTTATTTGAGGAGACAAAGTTTGTCACTTAGACCATTCATATACAAGATCTCTCAATCATTTTGAGTGGGTTTATAAAGACCCCAACTAAAAATCTACTAGAGAAGTTGGTTCACATGTTGCAAACTCAAATGATTTCATGTGATTAAGATTTAAATATTTAACTTATTACAACCAGAAATTACTACAAAAGATCGTTCGGCAATGGAATAGCTAATCAAGTACGAGAGTGAAATTGGTTTCCACTTGGTATGGGTGAATAGTAAACTATTAGGTTGACTTTATTTTATTCAAGTTCCATATACTCCAACTCAATCCCAACCATATGAAGCATCAATACTAGGGGCGTCAACTACAACACTATCAATAACATCAATGAAACCCTTCATCTAACGAATCAATAATGGGGATTGGGGGTGTCCGCTACAACACTATCAACAACATCAACTTTTTCTAACTCAACCTCATATAGGGAAAGTTATGGTTGAGAGTATGAAATAGTAATAGGCGAAATCATTGGTTGTTAGTCCGCTCTCTCAAGTAGAAAATTCCAGTCTTCATTTTCGTCTCAACGACAGACGAGTTGCCACACATGTGGGTACAAATGAGAGTCAAGGTTTCTTTACTTGCGTAGAGGCACACTATCTCCTCTCATACAAATCCATGAGGGAGAGCGGTGTAAGGAGGATGAGGTCTCTGGACACATCCTCAGATGGCACTCCTAATCAAGAGATAAGCCCTTTGACGGCCTAACTCAAACACTATGCATGATTGCCTCTCACGTGAGAACACTCATTTTTCAAAAGTTTTTTCAAATTGAGCACGTTATGCAAACAATTTTTTTAGTCGAAGATTGGGGGGAGTCCCGCATACATGTTGTTGATGTGACTTGAATCGGACTATCAGCCACTACGATTGGTAATCGGGGTTGCGGGGGCAACGCCTCCGGCCCACGGTGTATGGGCTCAATGTTATTTGGGTTCGGGTTCTGGGCCTGGTCTGTAACCGTTTCCTTTGCTAGATTGGATTAGGTTTAGACCCCACATGGAGAAGTACTATAAATACTTCTCATACTCCTCTGTAATCTGTAATCTCCTCGATATAGTGAAACTGGCTCTCTCTCGCCCGTGGACGTAGCTAACACACATCGTGTTAGTGAACCACGTAAACCGTGTGTCTGTTTTTTTCGTTTCTCGCTTTCGCATTCTTGCTTTATCGATTCCGGCAATTTCCCGATCCATAGCAGCGCGTTTATAACAAGTGGTATCAGAGCCGCGGCTGGAAATCAAGCTAGGGTTTTCGATTCAGAAGAATGACGTTGGTGAACATGAAGATTGAAAAGTTCACGGGGAAGAACAGCTTCGCTATATGGCAGATCAAGATGCAGGCTTTTTTAAAACAACAAGGGCTGTGGGGGCCCCTGTCTGCGAAACAGAAGAAGGCATCGGTCGATGACGATGAGTGGAATACCCTGGAGGAGAAGGCCCACTCGGCCATCATGCTATCGTTGTCTGATGACGTCATCATTGAAGTCGCTGCTGAGAAGACTGCCACTGGCTTGTGGTTAAAGTTGGAGAGTCTATATATGACGAAGTCCTTGACCAACAAGCTGCATCTCAAGCAACGGTTGTTCAGCTTGAGGATGCAAGAAGGTACGCCTTTGAGGGAACATCTCGAACAGCTTAACTCTATTTTGCTGGATATGCGTAATATAGATGTGCAAGTTGATGACGAGGATGCTTCCCTAATCCTACTGGTTTCTTTGCCGAGTTCATATGAGAATTTCGTTGATTCTTTTATTGCTGGTAAAGAAAGCGTGTCGTTGGAGAATGTCAGGTCTGCTCTTCCTACGAGAGAGACCAGGCATAAGGCGTCTGGATCTGGTACAGGTGGTGAGGCATCGGGTTTGGCTGTTATAGGTGGAAAGGGAAAGAAGAAATCTGGTAAAGGGAATTCGAGCAAGAATTCCAAGGGTCCTGGTCCACAGCCAGGTGATGCTTGTCACAACTGTAAGGAAGTGTGGCATTGGAAGTACAACTGTCCCAAGAGAAGAGGGCAACATAAGAAACAAGGTTCAGTTGCCGTGGCAGAAGTGGACAACAGTTCTGAAGACGATCTTGCCTTGGCTGTAGATGAGAAGGCACATCGTGGGGATGTGTGGTTTCTGGATACTGAAGCCTCATACCATATGTCTCCGAACAGGGATTGCTTCACAACCTACGAGCAGATAGATGGTGGTAACGTGGTCATGGCTAATGGAGCTGTCTGCAAGGTTGTTGGAATCGGGTCCATAAAGGTTCGGACACATGATGGTTCGTTCTGTACCGTGAATGATGTCAGGCATGTTCCACGAATGACAAAGAACCTGATCTCCTTGAGTCTACTCGACAGCAAGGGTTTCAGTTTCAAAGGAAAAGGTGGAGTTGTGTATGTCTGCAAAGGTTCAAGGGAGGTGCTGAAGGGCGTGAAGCGTGGGACCTTGTATGCATTACAAGGGTCTGTGTTGTCTGGTTCTGCTGCAGTTGCATCATCTCAGGTTCATCAGGAAGATATGGCCACTCTCTGGCACATGAGACTGGGGCATATGAGTGAACGAGGGATGCAAGTTCTATCGAAGAGGGATCTTCTTTGCGGGCACAAGGTGCAGAATTTGGAATTCTGTGAGCATTGTGTGTTTGGGAAGCTACATCGCAGCAAGTTTCCCAAGAAGGGTATCCACCGGACGAAGGGGATACTAGATTACCTCCACTCCGACTGTTAGGGTCCTTCACGAGTTGAATCCATTGGAGGCAGCAGGTATTTTCTGTCTATTATTGATGATTATTCGAGATTTACTTGGATTTTCATGATGAAGCAGAAAAGTGAGGCTTTCACAAAGTTCAAGCAGTGGAAGACATTGGTGGAGAATAAGACCGGTAATAAGATCAAGAAGCTGCGAACAGACAATGGTCTGGAGTTCTGTAATTCTGGCTTCAACGAATTCTGCAAGGATGAAGGGATTGCCCGTCATCGGACTGTGAGAGATACACCCCAGCAGAATGGCGTTGCAGAAAGGATGAACCAGACATTGTTGGAGAGAGCACGGTGCATGCTCTCTAATGCTGGACTAGAGAGAAGATTCTGGGCAGAAGCAGTGAACATGGCGTGCTTCCTAATCAACCGTGGACCTCACACAGGTATTGAGTTGAAGACTCCTTATGAGGTGTGGTATGGTAAGCCTGCTGATTACTCTTCACTAAAAGTTTTTGGGTGTCCTGTTTATTATCATGTGGATGAGGGTAAACTGAACCCAAGGGCAAAGAAGGGTGTATTTGTGGGTTACGGAGATGGAGTTAATGGATTTCGAGTCTGGTCACCTTCTGATCATCGAGTTATACTCAGTAGAAATGTGATATTTGATGAGAAGTCTATGTTTAACCCCATGTTGAAGGTTACTGTTGTTGAAGGTAGCATGAGTGTTGATAAACAGGTGGAGCTGCAAACTCTCAAAGAGAGTGAGTTTGAGCACCAAGGTGGAGAAGATCAACATGATGAGGATGTCTCTGCAGAGCCAGAAACTTCAGAGTCCAGTGCACGAGCTCAACAGACTATTGCTTCCGGTAGACCGAAGAGAGCGACTGTAGGAGTACCTCCACAGAGGTATGGTTTCGAGGACATGGTGGCGTATTTATTTCAGGTTGCTGAAGAAGTGGATGGGGAGAGCCACAGTCCTATAGAGAAGCCGTTTCGGGTGGCGAAGCTGATCAGTGGCTTGCCGCAATGGGAGATGAGATGAAATCCCATTATAGGAATCAGACTTGGGAGCTAGTCAAACGACCACAAGGAAGGAAGTTTGTTACAAACAAGTGGATCTACAAGAAGAAGGAAGGAATCACTTCTAAAGAGGGCATGAAATTTAAAGCTCGGGTGGTTGCACGAGGCTTCTCGCAGAGGGAAGGAGTTGACTACGATGAGATTTTCTCACCAGTGGTCAGACATACTTCGATCAGAGTGCTACTAGCAATAGTGGCACATTATGACTTGGAGCTCGAGCAGCTAGACGTGAACACAACTTTCCTACATGGAGAGTTGGAGGAAGAAATTTACATGACTCAGCCAGAAGGATTCGAGGTTTCGGGAAAAGAAGACTATGTTTGTAAGCTGAAGAAGTCCTTGTATGGACTTAAGCAGTCTCCGAGGCAGTGGTACAAGAGATTTGACAGTTACATGCTTGAGCTGGGCTACAGCAGAAGTCCATATGATTGTTGTGTGTATCACAACAAGGTGGAGGATGGTTCGATGATCTATCTTGTTCTGTATGTGGAAGATATGCTCATAGCTGCGAGGTCGAAGTCTGATATCCAGAAGTTAAAGGGGCTTCTCAGTGCTGAGTTTGAGATGAAGGATTTGGGAGCTTCTCAGAAGATCTTGGGTATGGAGATTTACAGGGACAGGTCGAAGAAGAAGCTTTTCTTGTCACAGAAGAGCTACATCCAGAAGCAACTGTCGAGGTTTGGCATGTCTTCAGCAAAGCCCTTAAATACTCCCAGTGCTTCAAATGTTCATCTATCCTCAGCTTATGCACCGCAGTCGGAGGCTGAGAAGGAGTACATATCGAGAGTCCCATATGCTAGTGTAGTAGGTAGCTTGATGTACGCTATGGTATGCACTAGACCTGATCTTGCACATGTTGTTAATGTTGTCAGCAGGTTTATGATACAACCTGGGAAGGAGCATTGGCAGGCTGTGAAGAGGATCTTCCGGTACCTTAAGGGTACACCTGATGTGGGGATTAGCTTCGGAAGTGATACAGAGTGCTTGGTGTCTGGGTATTCTGACTCGGACTATGCTGGAGATGTTGACACGAGGAGATCGATGACCGGTTATGTATTCACTCTTGGGAGTTCTGTAGTGAGCTGGAAGGCAACTTTGCAGTCGGCGGTGACATTGTCTACTACTGAGGCAGAGTATATGGCGTTGACAGAAGCTGCTAAGGAGGGAATATGGTTGAAGGGACTGGTTGGTGATCAGGGTCTACATCATGATCAGGCAGTGGTGTATTGCGACAGTTTGAGTGCAATATGCTTGGCCAAGGATCAAGTCCACCATAAGAGGACTAAGGACATCGACGTGAGGTATCATTTCTTGAGTACAGAGAAGAGGATTAAGGTGAAGAAGGTTGGCACCGCGGATAATCCTGCTGATATGTTCACGAAGTCGATTCCATATGGCAAGTTCCAACACTGCTTGGACTTGCTGAATGTCTTGAGTGGGTGACTCCGCCCTGTGGGGCATTGATGGCGGGAGAGAGAGAAGGAGCAGAGTACATCAGAGATTTCAGAGGAAGAGGATTCAAGTCAAGGTGGAGATTTGTTGATGTGACTTGAATCGGACTATCAGCCGCTACGACTGGTAATCGGGGTTGCGGGGGCAATGCCTCCGGCCCACGGTGTATGGGCTCAATGTTATTTGGGTTCGGGTTCTGGGCCTGGTCTGTAATCGTTTCCTTTGCCAGATTGGATTAGGTTTAGACCCACATGGAGAAGTACTATAAATACTTCTCATACTCCTCTGTAATCTGTAATCTCCTCGATATAGTGAAACTGGCTCTCTCTCGCCCGTGGACGTAGCTAACACACATCGTGTTAGTGAACCACGTAAACCGTGTGTCTGTGTTTTTCGTTTCTCGCTTTCATATTCTTGCTTTATCGATTCCGGCAATTTCCCGATCCATAGCAGCGCGTTTATAACACATGTCATAACCTAAATAGTGAACAATATCAACACATCTAGAAGAAAAAAGAAGTAAGACCCCTCATACACCAATAATCCTCGTAATGCTACACTACTCCCTACAACACTCACCATCTTCATCAACTAACAATTCAAAGTATAATGAGAAGGTAGATGCATAGGACAAGGTGTTTGGAACCCTTAAATTTGAATTTTTTTTGGGCTAATCAACAAAGTCCCGAAGAAGTTCTTTAAGTCATTCAAAACACCACATAAAACTCATTCAATTGATAGCATACACTCCCACACATAACTATCAACGTCTTACATTCACAATCATATAAATTTTTGCAGCAGCTAAAACCAACCCCATTTAGCACCTGATCCTTACTCCACTCACATTATCAGAGTCAAGAGACTCATATTATCATATATATTTTTTTAATAGTTAAAACAAAATTTCATTAAACTCGCACATCTTAGGAAAACCTTAAGCACCTTTTAAACAATTACAACCATCAAGTGGACGATTTACATACAAAAAGAACTATCTATATAGCACCAATTTATCTAAATCCGAACATTGTTAAAACTACTCTTTAACATCACTATGCTCGCAGTACCGTAGGGCAAGATCTGCCTAACTTCAACACAAATAGCAAGGGGGGTTTTGCAGCTCTTGATCCATAGTGATCACTACTAGTAAATCCTTATAGTTTGTGGAAACAAATACTAAATTGATTTGTAAATTACAGTTAATTACCACAATACGTGATCACTACAAATTACTATCGGAAAACTCTTTCACACAAATCCGAAAGTTGCGACCATAACCATTGTCGTTTCATTCCTTTCCTTTCATTTCAAAACGAAAGCCCATGTACATCCGAAATCACACTAATTTCAAACCTCCTATTAGGCTTGTCAATGGGTAGGCCTATTGGTTTTTTTGACCCAAATACCTTGACCCATATGGGTATTGGCTTGGACCCAAATGGACCCAAATTTCTTTTTCCTTTTTTTGGGTTGGGTTGGGTTTAGATTCGGTCCAGAATGGGCCTGTATATTTGGGCCGACCCAAATGGGTCCATTTGGGTATAAGTTAAATTTTGGTAAGTTGGCTGCCTTCCACAATGGTCCAGGGTGACCTGCCCCATTCTTCTCCAATGACTAGTCCCATGATTTTGTCGTGTGCAGCTTCCTTCCTCGATCCAGGAAAACTGATACCACATCTGGGTGTTCTGTACAATTCGACAGAAACAGAAGAAAAAAAAAGAAGAGAAAGAGGGTATTTCCTATGACAAGTAGTCTCTCGTGTTTCTTCTCCAATTAAGCAAAAGCTCTCCAGCAAGAAACTCAATGGTTCTTACTTCTTAGCTAATTTACTAAGCACTAAGCAGCTATTTCCTACGAACTCAATTCCAAAAGCTTGAGACTGACACAAAAAAAAAACCCCCCACAAATTTTGTAGCTGAAGCGTCCTGCAAATCACAACAATTCATGGCCATCTTCATCGAGATTCCATCTCTAGCCAGCTGAGTGATATATTCCACCATTGCTGCCCTGCATATTTCACACCATAATTGAGCATTCCAAGCCCCAAAAACAATTTCAATAGGAAAGACAGCTAAGTCTGACAAATCCAATTAGAAGTTGAACAAAAAATTCAACTCAATCTAAGGAACCACCTGATTCATACAAACCTAAACCACAAAAACAGAATGCTTCTTGGCACCGCTTCAATTGTCATGCTCCTCCCCATCTTCATCAAAAATATGTTGTCTTCGCCTGCAGAATTACTTCCTCCTTTCATCTACAGATTTTCATTGGGTTTTCTCAATAAGGGTTCTATGGTTTCTTGCTCCTCCTCCTGTTCTTCCTAAATTTGAGGTGGTGGCTAGGCTAGGACTTGAGGATCATCAATTTCTTTTTTGTTGGTGCACGAAAGGGAAAGATGGAGCAGAATAACGAGGTTTGATGAGGTTGTTGGTGTTTAAGATTCATTGTCCTTCCTTTAGCTTTTGCAACCCATCCCAAAGTATTTGTAGAGGTGAGCAATTGAAGTTTAACAAGAAGAAGAAGAGTATCAGCAATCAAGTGCTTTGCTCAACAGAGCACACACAATTAGCCGAGGAGGAAGGGAAAGAGGTTATTACAAGTAGTAGTAGTAGTAGTAGTAGTAGTAGTAGTAGTAGTAGTAGTGCTGTGGATGATGATGATGAAGGGATTCAGAGTTGTCTGAGGAGTGGTGAAGTTACGAAAGGGGATGATGCCGAGAGGAACAAGAAGAAGAAGAAAGTGCAGTGGGTGGATTTTGTAGGGAAGCCACTATTTGATATCAGAGAATTTGAACCCACCACCATTTCTCCTTCTTTCATATTCAAAAATATATATCATCACATCACAATGCACGCTATATCTACTCCTTTCCTCCATACAATTTGCATCTGGTGGCGTTCAACACTATCCGACTCCGACACTAAACCTAAACCCAGAAACAATATACCAAAAAAAACCCAAAACCAAAGATGAGACAAGTAAACCAAACCCAAATGAACGAAATCTTAGAGTGCGAGATACAGGGGAAAAGAAGAACTGAGCAAACAGAGAGGGGGCAAGATCTAGAAGAGAAGAAGATGGGGCAAACCTGGAGATCGAGACCAGCACGAGAAGAGCGAGAGGTGGGTTTCTTCTACTCTTTGTCCTTGTCAATTGACACCAGCTAGCTTCTAAACGGACTGGACAATTCCACAGCCTCAGGGTCCGATGGTGGGGAAAAGGAGAAGCTGGCGGCGTCGGGGCCGATGGTCGCTGATCGAGAATCGGGATTGCAGGTCGGCGGCGTCTTCGGGGCTGATGGTCACTGATCAAGAATCAGATGCAGGCGGCCGGCGGCGGCGTCAGGACTCGGGATACGATGGTGGAGATTGGAGAAGCACAAGTCGAAGTAGGTCAAGGATGAAGAGACCCGTTTGGGTTCTGTAGGATTTTTTTGTTTTTTTTTTTAATTAATTTTCTGGGCCTATCTTGGACCCAATTTAATTGGATGGTTATGGGTCTGCTCCAAAACAGAAAAACCCAAAACCTGATTTGACCCAAATTCTCTTGGGTTTGGGTAAAACTCATACCCTAAGACCCATTTGACATGCCTACCTCCTATATGCAACGTTTAACAAGAAAAGTCACACTAAAAAATTTCAACATTTCCAAACGTTCACCAACTAAAAATTCGGTAATAATCACCGGAATAATTGAATTGCTTCTGTCTTTTAGTACATAGAGTATGGTCTTAGATTTGTTGAAGCATAGTTATCAACATGCACTAAACAAAATTTCGAGCGGTCGCACCCGCGAAAGCGAAAGCATGTATTAGTTTGTATTGACTATTGACATCTTGAGAAGTTACTACGTACTACTACCTTTCCTCTCGTCAAATTATCAAAACTGCCTTTGTTTCTTTGACCTTTACACGACTACCAACCACGACTCTTCCAATCAAAATTCAACCCGCCCATTTGCTGCAATCCTTTCCTATCCTCTCTCAACTCTATTTAAACCCCCAACCAACTTTGGCCATTCATTATTCCTTTGGGTTGGGGGAAAAAAAACAACTTTCTTCCTCTTCGTTCTATTCAAGTACAGAATCCGTACGTAACGATGGGGAACAGCATCGGATCGAAGAACAGAAGAGCCAAAGTGATGAAGCTCGACGGCGAGACCTTCAAGCTCAAGACCCCGGTCCGAGCCGCCGACGTCCTCAAGGACCACCCGCCGGGCCACTGCCTCCTCGAGTCCGAATCTGTCAAGCACTTCGGCTCACGGGCCAAACCGCTCGAACCGGACCAGAACCTGCTCCCCAAGCGCCTCTACTTCCTCGTCGACCTCCCCAAAACCGGCCCGGTTCCCCGGGCGAACCCGAGACGGGTCTGGTCGGGCCCTATGAACCTGACCGCCAAGGACAGGCTGGAGAACCTGAAGCTGGCCAGGAGGTCCGCCTCCGATCTCTCGCTCATGAAGCCCGCCGCCGTGGCCGGCAGCGTCACCGTGGCGGAGGGCGGCGGCGCCGGGGAGGAAGGGACGGTGAGGGTGAAGCTGAGGCTGCCGAGGAGTGAGGTGGAGAGGCTGATGAGGGAGAGTAAGGATGAGGCTGAAGCCGCCGCGAGGATTATGGATCTTTGCGCTGCGGGTGGTGGTGACCGGAGTTCTTATAATAGAGCTGCCGGCGGAGGAGAAGGGAGCAGCGGCGGCGCCGGAGTTAGTGGCAGTGTGATGAAGGTATGTGACGTGGACATTACGTGTTGCGTTTGTCAGCTCAATTTTACTTTACAGTTTTCTGCTGCTAGGCTTGCTAGGTTCTAGTGCTTCACATGGCACACCAATTTTGACTAAAATGAGTAATTGAGCGTAATGTGTGTGAACATTAAAAGCTTTCACGAAATTGTCTTCAAGGATTAAATTTTAGTTTTTCAAAGACTCTTGAAAAAAAAATATTATTAAAAGACTTTAAATTTTAGTTTTTTGAAGACTTCAAAAAATTATAATTAAATGACTTTAAAATTTAGATGATGTAATTTGTTTTCTCATGGATTAGTAAAAAAAAATATTGCACTTGAAGGCAGTGGCGGACCCAGGATTATTAAAGAAGGGTGTCGCCGATAAAAATTATAATAATTAAGATAATGAAATAAAAATTTAATAGAAATTACTGGAAATTTATTTATAAGTTCACAACCTCATGTTTACTACGAATTATGACGATTTTTCATATTTGAGATTTTTTTAAAATACATTCATCGTTCATGTTGCAAATCAAACCTTTTTCGATATACACAACTACATAATCATTCATAAATTAGTCACTCAACTAAAGAGAATCGACCTACGTCTAAAATCAAATTAAATTAAAATAAATTAGTTTGCTACCAATCGGCTATTTTAGAAAAAACAAAGTATGCCTAAGTAATATCATTAGCATTTTTTCTCTAGTTCTATCAAATTAACCAAAATCAAACCACAATCTCCCATAAATATAGGCAATTCACCTATTAACTACAAATCAATAAGTTAAATTGGGTTGTGGGTTACTTAAAACAAGCATGCTTATTTGATTTTACTTATTATTGTTAATTACTAATTATGACGAATAACTTTATAACATTGAAACTATTGTCATATAATGAAAGTGTGTCGCTTATAATTATTAGAGCGGTGTTACTAATTATGACGACACCCCTCCTCTTGCCCTAGGTCCGCCCCTGCTTGAAGGATGTTTCTAACTGAATATCTATTGTTTTTATTTTTGAAAATAAATATTTCTTACTTTAGAATTTCCCAAAAATAATCTCCAAACTATAATGCGACATTGTAGGGCTCGTTTGGAGAATTGGAGTCTAAATCTCTAAATTCTAGACAATCCAAAGATTTTAACTCTCAGGATTGTTGAAAAAAGATTTGAAAATGTTCATTGTTTGGTAACTATGATTGTTAACATCCAATGAAAAAAGAAATTCTATTTTTTTTATCACATAACATGTTTATCCTTAACCAAAATAATTAGACTGGCTCGAAAAATATTGAGAATTTATTTGTAAGGGTATTTAGTGAGATAAATGAAAAAAACAAGAGATATAATAGGAGGGAGAAAATCACCAAAATCAAGATATAGAATCTCTCTAACTATGAGAGATTTGATATCTCTAGATTTTATAGATTTAAAATCTCTGAAGTTACAATCCACGATACAAAAAGTAACAAAAAAACATAACATTTTTCTAAATCTATGGATTCAATAAATCCACGATCCAAATCTTGTTCTCCAAACGACCCCGTAGTGTTTTATAGCCAAATCATAGGCAATATTCTCCAAACTATTGGGATAGTTTGGATCAAGAGTCTCAACTGGGCTGGCTCGATTGCAAAAATTCACTATCAATTGAAGACGTTTGTGTTCAACTTTTATGAGGCTGTGTATCTTGTCAAGCTGAGTGATAACTGGGTTCGTTTTGCCTAATTCGCGCACTAGGTGTTTCTATTCGTTTATAAAAAAAAATGTTCAACGACACATTGTTTTGGGAAATATTTTTATTGGAGATGAGTAAATAAGTTTTGCAAAATAACAATAAATATGAAGAAAAAAAAATCCTCAGTAAAAATGTAACTAACCTTGTTCCCTTTACATGTAACACGAAGGTGATTTTATGGCCTTCATTTTTTGTTTGTTAAAAGAAAAACTTTCCTTGCTTTGATTGCGGAAATGAGGGAATCATGACGTCGAAAAACGAAGATGGGTTGTTGACGGAAGTAATGTCAAATGTTTGGTTTGGAAAATGGTTACTCTTTAGAGGAAAATGAGGTTTCAAGAGAAACAGCGACTTAACAAATCATTTCTTAACATGTTCTGTAGGAGGGGGTGCTTAATTTATTATTATTATTATTATTATTATTATTATTATTTTTATTATTATTATTATTATTATTATTATTATTATTATTATTATTATCTCTCCATGCATATGCATTTGTCGCCTGTGAACCCCCACGTCGCCCAATTAATAAGCCAAGCCAAGTCGTGTTGTGGACATAGTCAACCTTCTCCGCCTGACTTTGTCTCATCATCTTCACGTTCCCCTTTAGTTGCCATTGGAGAAATGAAAGGGATTACTTTCTCGTCTCTTTTGACGGCTACACATATTAGTCAAAAAGTATTCCTTCCACTTGCCTTTCCTCAATTTATGGAATATCTTGTCCCTTAACTTTGTGTATACATTTGCTATTTTTTGTTGCAGAAACGAGTGAGCTTCTTGCCGATCAGTGAAGCGGAGACGAATCAGATAGCCGTGGCCTCCTACTAATTATTATAAAGAATAATTAAGCCAACGATGAATAATTAAGCATACATTAATTTCTTTGTAATAAGTCAAAAAAGATGGGCCACCATTACACTTTAAGTACAGTAGTCTTTGCAAGTTTTTCAGCCTTCGAACTCTCATGGGAACCAAAGCATTTAGTTGTTCCTTTGCTGGTCTCATTGGTTTTGTGTAAATAGGATTTGCATACAGAGATACAGCAAAGCGGTCACGTTTTGGGCTCTCACGAGAGTGGTGAAAGAGCTTTTTTTTTTTTTTTTTTTTTTGTGAGAGACATGTATGCTTGTATGTAGCCCTACTTTTACATCTATTGTAATTTAGGAATTACATATATTCTTTGTAGGGTTAAAAGAAACTTTATCTACTTTTACCTTGCAAACTTTTATCGAATATCATGTTTTTCTAATAACAATTTTACTGATATTAATCCCATAATCGGGAGGAGGCTTACAACATATAATTTTTCTAATAATAAAAAAATTTGGTGGGAGGTCGAGGGACCAAAGTCACTTCTCACAATTGTTAACCTCTTATCATGTTTTTCTAATAATAATTTTGCATGACCTGCTATGGGACATTGATACAACAGAAGGAGTTTCGGCCCAACTTGGAAAACAGAAAAGGCAGAAGAAAAAAATTGATAACCTCTTTTTTTCATGCTTCCATCCTCGTCGCATTTACTGGTTTCCTTCAGTTGTTGCTCCAAAGTGCATCATACCTTCAGCTCCACACTCATGCTGCTAAAACTGTGTTCCCGACCAAATATGACAGTACACTTCACTTGCTTGTGGTTGTAGAGCACAAATATTTAAGCATATATTCATTGGAAGAACATGTATCAGCCAAATCCTGATGTATTCTGGTGATGGCCTTCTGCAAGAATTTTAAAGCGGGAAGGAGGTTTCTGGACTGCTGTTGGATCGAGTTACCATGAGCTTTGCATAGCTCCTGCGGAAAACATAAAATCAATAAAGTCAAATTGAAGATTCCCAGACCTGAAAACAAAAGCTTGTCTATATTCACAGCAAAAAATGATCGGAGTACCAAATTACCTGACACCAATTAAGTATAAACTCCAGATGAGGACAGCTTTCCAAGAGATCAGCAAACACATCTATTAACCTCTGTAGGTATCTATGAGGAATCGATGACACAACAGTTGCTACATCTGCGGGGCTTACAGCAAATACACATTTTTTAATCAGCGAATCTTCATTCAGTCGTAGGCTGAGGATTAGACCCCTGCTTGGTTGATTTTCAATCAGTGCCTGGTTAACCGCCTGTAATTATGTTTGACACAATGAAACAAGATAATATTAGACCTTTGATTGAGGGCATCGTGAATAGTAATCAATACGGCAACCCAAGCGATTTACCTCTGGTGTCACATCAATGTCGAGATCAGTGGGGTCGAATATGAAAGATTCATCAACTGAATAAACTAGAACCCCTTCAGTTGTTGCAGCGGCAAAGCTTCGCCCTGTGTGTGCAATCCTAAGGGATTTTGTTCGAATTATAGGCCTTCCTCGATTTTGGGTGGCCCCAGGTAAATCACCACCCAACTTGCCCCGAGTTTGTATATCAACACCTTCCTCTGCATCACTATCCTCATCATCAATCAAATCGAGTGGACCAGCATCAGTCATTTTCTTGGAGTTCAGGAAGTCATGCACTCCATCCATCGAAAGATTAAAAGTTATTTGAAACCGGCGCAAGAGAACCTGTCCATGAATAACCTCAACAGATTAATTACCTCTATACCCCAAAAAAGAAAGCCAACATACAATAAAACCCTTTGAAATATTGTTGCAGCATACAATTAGAGAACAAAGTTGGGGTAGGGTGTGAAAAAACAAAAATGATTTGAAAATATGGGCTATAACGGACAGTATGAGCGTGTATGTTTTCATCGTTCATTTCTAGCGCATTTTCTATTACAAATAATGAATTCCAGTTGTTTAGAAAGGAAATTTCCATGGAAAAATTGTTTATGTTCTCTGATGCAAGTGATACTTAGCTCATTCCAAAAATCCAATAACATATTTATATGATAGGCTTACGACTTGGTAAAAGAAATCTAAAACTAGGACAAGTGCAAAGATACTAGATTAGATTAAGCTTATGGGAAAAGGGGGACAAACCTGATCAGCAATATCATACATGCATATGTATTTGCTATTTCCACCAGCCAAAATGTAACTCCCATCAGCAGAGAAGCTTAAAGTTGTGAAGCATTTCCCTGCTGTTGAATTAGCAGCTGATCTGCGATCAGTCATGAGGCGGCCTCCAGCAATATCCCTTCGACCTTCAATGGTGTACATTAGAGAGCCATCAATTGGATCCCAGAAATGAATTTGACCATCTAATGTGCTGCAAGCCAATTGCTTCCCATCTGGACGATAAACTACCGTCAGAACATCATGTGTGTGAGAGAACGTTTCAACAGCGCCTTTTCCTTCAAAAATATCCCACAAGCGAACAGTTTTGTCCCAGGAAGATGATGCCAAGATTGCCTACAGGATGACAAATAAAAAGCAGAAACCACTTATATCAAATTTGAATATATGTAAACACCCAACAATAAAATGAAAACAATCACAGCAGGCAAGCTACAGCTTGACAAAAATATTCAGGTAAACGTATCACGTAGGAAGAAAAAACATCACTTGGTGAATGGGTTGAATTTCAACTTAAAATAAAAAACACCAATAACAGAAATAAAACTCACGCTTGTTGGAGAAAACATCAACCCATGAACAGGACCTTCATGACCACTGAGCACATCCAACAAACGCCCAGTCTTCATTGACCAAACAAATATCTGTTGCATATGACAAATAATAATAACCCAATAAAAATCCAGTAGTATGATGAATACTAGTGCCATCACAATGTTGGTTATAGATTTTATTATTTTCGCTGGACTTGAGTATACTGTGGAAAAGTAATTGCAAGACTTATAAACAGGATAATTACCTCAAAGGAATCTAGTGTCCCTGCACAAATTACTTCACCACTTTCATCTGCTGCCAAAGACACGAATTGTCTTGATGACGGAGTAGTAAATGTCCTAAAATTCCGATAGCGGAATAAATCCCATGCACGTACAGTTCCATCTAGAGATGCACTTAACAGGCAGTGATTATTGGACATAAAATGAAGGGCAGTAACAGCATTGGTGTGCTCTGAGAACGTTACAAAGCAAAACCCCGACGAAACAGTCCACACCTGCAAGCAATAATGGATTCACACAATAATGAAGACCAAAGGGGCAAGGTAGCAAATCAAAAGACAATGTGAAATACCCAAAAAGAGGTAAGGAACAAATTACATTCACAAATGAAATGTGTATGCATTATTTACTCTCGCAACAATGAAATAGGTTTGCATTAGAACTCACACTGAAAAGTAGAAATGATCCTCAAAAGAAGAGAAACAATGTTTTTCAAACGGTGTCAACAACTACCACTTGCCACCCAACAACCTAAATGACACAACTGAATGCAGTTTAATACCAGTAATGACTGGCTTTTTTATATAAAAATGACGGGCCTTAATTTGCCAAGACAGTAAAAAAAATAACATCATTTCCATCATATTATATTTGAAAGCCAAATTGTCAAATACCAAATGACCAGTACTATGGCAGCAACAATGCCAACAGTTTGAAACAACTACCAGAAATTCACTTTTCAGTGACCATGAAAGAAAGAGAACAATGAACTGAAAGAACTCAAAAAAGTAATGTGAACAGTGGAACAGCATCTAATGATTAAGCTTAATAGTAGCCCATAACCTTCAAAACAGCCTTCCAAATTCAAAGCCCGTATCAGCAAACCCAACCATATCTCAAGTCTAGAGTATTTATCAATGTTATCAATCCATTTACCTTGACTTTGTTATCATCTGCTCCAGTAGCCAACAACTGAGAATCTGGTGAATAAGCCAAACAGTTGACATCAAAATAATGACCCTGTTGCTTCAACACATAACTCTCGGATCTCCACTCCCATACCAGCAATTGCCCCAACTTCGCACACCCAAAAGTTAACCAATTACCAATCTCATTAAACACAGCTGTGGTGATCTTCTCCCTTGATATTGACAATAGGTGGATGCAAACAAAATCTGGCATCTGATATAACCCAAAAACACCACTGGAAAATCCCACTACAACCATATCCAATACCCTATGGTAATCACATGCAGTGACTTTTGCTGGTGATTGCATAAATCCATCTTTCCGAAGCAACTCCCATTTCCCTTTATGCAAGTACTCTTTCAAAGAAGGGTCAGTCCCTTTCAAATCATGGTTCTTTCTTTTCTTCGCATTAATTTCAGTTCCATCACTCAAAATTTCTTCCCCGCCTCTCTCTGGTGTTCCTGGGGAAAGAGGCTCATCATCCTGGAGCTTATCATTATCTGCAGCACCATCAAGGCCACCATAACCCCAACTGAATATGTAACCATCGCGTGTAACGGTGTAAGCTCTGTTTGGGGTATTACTATTCTTACTGTACTTAAAGAAACAACCAACAACAGTATCTCTGTGTCCTAAAAACAAATATGGCTTATTCATTGCACCTTCCCTCAGCCTCTCAGCAAAAAAGAGTCTTGCAGTTAAATCCTTAGAGCCAACAAGCAGATATTTAGAATCTAAACTCCATTCCAATGCCGTGACTGTAGCCTCACAATCTGCAAGGGTCCTCACCAAGTGGAAGGCAAAGGGTTCCTTCTTAAAGCCAGGAGACAACCAGATTTCAACTAATTTGCCAGTAGCCACCGCGATATATTTACCATCAGGACTGAATTGGACAGCGTGTACAGCCCCATGCTTGAAATGTATACAATGAAGGGATACCCGGGCTGGAATGTTAACAAACTGAGCACGGTTGTTCTCGTCGACGGTTAGGAGGAATGTACCGTCGGGTGAGGCTGCAAGCCGGCGTATGTTCGAGGACGATTGGAAGGGAAGTGTAATGGTTTGGGACTTCAAGAGGTCTGTGATAGAAACACGGTTTCCAACTGAAGAGATTAGCTGAGTATTCTGAGTGACTGTGGCATTCCCTCCCCGGTAAGGAGCTCCAAGCAGATTTTGAAATCGGTAATTCATAGCTAGTTTCTAAAGAAAGATCCTGCAGAGGAGCATAAAAAAACTTTGTCATCAGCCATCACAACCTGGTTGATAATAGTCTACGAAATCTAAATCAAAACAAAGCTAATTGGTTCAATTAACTCAAAATCAAGCTTTCAACAAACTCTAAATATCATTTACCGGTTTACGAAACCCCCTATTAATCACAACTTCATTGCGTATCACTCGAGTACAAACTAATAATCAACAAGTACATAATGTTCCACGAACCTAAGCTTTCTATCTTAACAACAGAATAAGGGCAAACAAGCATTCAACAATGAGAAAGAGTCAATGGCGAGCACGATGAGAGTAGAAAGAGAGAAGGAACGCCAGCACTTACGAATTTGGTGCAAAGGTTGCTTTCTTCTTATGGCGCACGAGCTTGATAGAAGAACAGTGAGACTGAGATTTTGGAAGAAGGAGATGGCCGACGAAAGACGATAACGAAGTACGGAACAACGGAGGGTCGGTGGCGACGAAGAAAATAGGAGAGGGGAGGAGTGCTGCCGCTGCGGGGTTCAGGCACCGGACCGAGAGAGAAAAAGGGGGAGGCGGGGACGAGGAGGCAGAAACTGAAATACAACAATGACAAAGGCGCCAATTAGGTTTTCTGTCCCCGAGATAAAACCACGTCGTTTGGAATGAAGTAATTACAAATTAGCCCTGTCCTGTCAGTTTTGTTTAGTTTGGTTAACCCGTCTATGAAGGATAAAAAAAGGCAAAATACATTTGTATAGCCAAAAATTTTGCGTTTTTGCCAATAAAAGTCAAATTTGGAGAAATACCATTTATAGTCACTTCCGTCCAATTCTTTAGCGGTATAGTGTTAGCGTTAAGTATGACTGGACAAACGGAGATGCTTACATGGCGAGCTCTTATTTCCAATTTCGTTTGTAAATATCCACATGGATAATCATTCAATTAAAAAATTATGGGATAAAAACGGAAAAGCCCACTCTGCTCCCACCTCCTAACTCTCCGCCTTCTTCTTCCCCTCCCCGTCTTCCCCACTTCTCCTACCGGAGCTGGTTCTCGGACTCCCTCTATGTGGAAGTAGCGAGGGTTCCTCGGAAACGGATTCCCCGATTTTCGGGCAGAACGAATAGTTCCATTAGGGCACCCTTGTTTTCCCCGACGATGGTGATGACTGATGACCTTCGTCCCTTGTCTTCCAGATCTGAAGGATTCTTCTTCTTCCTTGGATCAAAGACCTATCAGAGGATTCCCGGCGTCGCGTCTCTCCCCTGCCTTACCAGGATTGAGAAGACGCAAGAGCTGGAGAGGTTGGAGAATCCATGGAGGAATAAGAAAAGTGGAATTAACGCCGGAATTGTGTCGAACGAGTAGACACGGCTTCACCGCCGCAGATTTCTTCACGACCAGCAAGCGCATCTCCGACCCGTCCTTCGCCACTCCGATGAACGATAACCTACTCCTCCTGGCTCTCTTCGACTCATTCCGTGAGAGGGGGGAATATTGTTCCGGGACGAGAAATGATGGCTGGTTGCTGAGAAACTCGTTCCGGGAACAGATCTACAATGGTGGATGTGAGCAGATCGGTGAGAGAGAGAGAGAGATCAATGTTTATGTACCTTTTATCTTTCCTTTTTGCTGGAGAAAATTGCACATCTGAAGTTGGAATTTGTTCGAATGGTTCGGCGAGGAGAAGTTGTGTTCAGATTGAACCGGTGAGAGCTGCAGTGAAGAGGCGAAAGGAGGGAAATGGGTAGGTTCAGGAAGGAGCTGGATCTGAACAAGAAGCGTCGGTTCATTGCCCTGTTGAAGATATTCCCTGTCGTGTTTGAGATTGTGGAGGAAGGCGCTTAATTGTTGCAGTTTAGAAGAGGCTGCATTTTGAGGAGCTGAAGGTTAGGAACGAAATGGAGGATCTGCTGGTTTTGAAGTTGAGGAAATTGTTGATGATGTCTCTGGAAAAGAGGATCTTGCTTGAGAAAATTGCACATCTGAAGACTGATTTAGGGCTTCCATAGGAATTTTGTGATACGATTTGTCGTAAGTACCCACAGTACTTCATAGTTGTTCCAACCGAGCGGGAGCCTGCATAACTCACTGGGATCCAGAGCTTGTTGTATTGGCTTGGGAGTTATCTGTCGAGGAGAAGCGGGCTATAGAGCTTTAAGAGAAGGATTTGATCTACAATGGTGGATTATGAATTTTTTATTAGGGGTTAGAAGATGGTTAGATGAGAGAGACGGGAGGAAGAGAGTCTTCTGACTCCAATTTTTTTTAAATTAAAAATATGACGTGGTGATTACGTGACATGTGAGTCTAGGTGGACATGACGTGTCGTCCAAATGGAGGCCACATAAGCATAACGTTCACTTAAACTAACGGAGTTAGAGACGATGTTAAAGTATTTGACGGAAAAGCTATATTTGTCATACAGGTTCATAAAATGTGGCTATAAGTGGTATTTCTCCAAATTTGGCTATTATTGGCACAAATGCGAAAGTTTTGGCTATACAAATGTATTTTGCCATGAAAAAACAAAGGCTAACACCACTAAAGAATGCAAACAATCCAATCTAGGTGATTCATCACTTATTTTTCTTTCATTTCAAAATCCTGTGAAAGTGGAAATGGTACATTCGACATTGCAATTATTTAGGGGTCTTTTGGTTTGGTGATTGTTCAATTGGGATAGTTACAATGCATGTATTGTCCACAATGCATTCTTTTTTTGAATTTTCTGCACAAACAATACATGCATTGTTTAACTAGGGGTATACTTGGAACAAAAAAGAAATCCAACAATCTCCTCAAAACTATCTCAACAATCTCAAGTTTTAGTAGAGATAGTACTATCACTCATATTGAGTGATAGTTTCCATCACATCAAGCAAACAATGCATGTATTGTTTGTGCAGAAAATTAAAAAAAAAAAGATGCATTATGGACAATACATGTATTATAACTATCTCAACCAAACTATCACCAAAACCAAACGCCCATGTATCCTTTTCCTAAATTGCATATATATTACAATGTATGCATTGACCACAATGCATTGATTTAAGTATCACCAAAACTAAACGATCCTTATTTCTTATTTAAGAAAATATATCAATGTGAATATTTGAACACAAGTATATTCTAACAAAAATCAGAATTATAACCAATTATTGTTGTATTATTTAAATAAAATATATTCAAGAAGCAAAAATATGAAAATCAAATGATTTTTTCAGCACGGTTAGGGAGCACTATGTCTCTCTAAAGTATTTTTTGTGTTTGATACTTTGATTTTCATTTTTTATTTAATTTCGAGTTCAATAATAATTGTTGTATATCTTATAAATGGAGGATAATCTTAAAACCGCAACCCAAATATCATTGATTCGAATCTTGCATGTAGAAGGGATATAAATTCTTAACTTAGTATCAATTTTTAGAACTATCATGAAGCAACGATATTTGTTGCAAACAATAAGTGACCGATTTTTCGAATTCTTTTTTGCAAGTCTGGTTAATCACTAAACCTCAAATGTCTTCCTAATGTGGCATGTTAATACTCAACAATCATGAGACAAAATTGAGTTTAATGTATTGGTTCATTTCACCATTTTTGGATGTGTTAGTAAATTTATAGGGTCATGACAAGTGACTGAGTAAAATTCACATGATTATGCATTTTGATTTTCAAATAAATAAAATAGTTTAAAGTTTGATGCAAGTGTATACTTACTTACTTGGTTGAATGACTTTTATTTTATCGTATATGATAATTAGTTTATTTATAATATTTGTGATGTTTGAAATCTTTTATGCTTGGTTTAGAAGTATACTTATTTTTTGTGGCATTAGTGGCAATCGGTTATGATGTAGTATTTCATCTGTTAGTCAAAGTAGTGTAAGAGTGCATTTATTTAGTGTCTTTTAGATTGGTGTTGGGAACAGATATACAATTGTTCATACTCAACAATCATGAGACAAAATTGAGTTTAATTTAATGTATTGGTTCATTTCACCATTTTTGGATGTGTTAGTAAATTTATAGGGTCATGACAAGTGACTGAGTAAAATTCACATGATTATGCATTTTGATTTTCAAATAAATAAAATAGTTTAAAGTTTGATGCAAGTGTATACTTACTTAGTTGGTTGAATGACTTTTATTTTATCATATACGATAATTAGTTTATTTATAATATTTGTGATGTTTGAAATCTTTTATGCTTGGTTTAGAAGTATACTTATTTTTTTGGCATTAGTGGCAATTGGTTATGATTGTAGTATTTCATCTGTTAGTCAAAGTAGTGTAAGAGTGCATTTATTTAGTGTCTTTTAGATTAGTGTTGGGAATTGAATTTGAAATTCTATTTTTGTAAAAATATTTACATATTCTCTTTCATTAAGTAATCAGACTCATTGACACCAAATGTATCACCAAAATCATGATACAGAAACCAATTTTTAAAAAATATTGATGGTATTTTTTTTAACTTATATATCTTTGAAATTTACATTGTTGTTGATTGTTAATGAACTTTCCATCAAAACTTTGGTATAGTTGGGTTGTTTATAGTGCTTGCTAATTTGGGACATGAAATTGACTGGACACATTTAGTTCGTTTTGATACCATATAAACATAGTGGGAACCATATTGTTTTTAGTTTCCACATGAGTTCATACAAATAAACGTAAAGGATAACTCTAAGTTCTACATATAAATATAAGTGAGAGAGGTATGAACGGATCTAATAGCCATATTAGGTGAACTTTAAGTTCACTTAGTCTCGAGGTTGACCATATGATATTCCCCCCTCTCCCCGTTGGTCGAGCATAATCTAACCTCTGGCTAGAGTTGGCATTGACAAATTCTTCTATGAACCAATGTTTCATATAGTCATTTATTGAAAGTGTCAATAATAAGAGTTTTCGACAAGCTGCTTATGGGTTCACCTTTGGAGAGATTCTTTGCTTGCAATATTTGCATCTTCGTCCTATCAAGAATTCATCACCGGCCAACTCTCTTTGCTTTTGAAATTTGTGTCGTGGCATCCACAAGTGCTGATGACACTACTCCAACCCTGAATTCTTCCCTGCCAACTTCAATAGCTCCAGTGGTTCATGTGCTTAGTGTTTTTTTCATAATTGAATAGTTTTAGAAAACAATTACATTGTGTATTTAACCCTTAAGATGATGTTGTTCAATCTATATAGTTAAACATAATAAAATTATTTATTTGTCCACAAATATCTCTTTTTTTATTTTTGATTATTTCCGAGTGATATCAAGAAAGGACATGAGTTATACAAAAAGAACTACCCTGGAACCCCCTACAAGCGACACCCTAGTGAAGCCACCAAATAAAGCCGAAAGACTCTAACTCTAGGAGAGATAATAATCACATGGGTCTTTGCTCAAAACTAGAGTACTAGAAATAAATGGTTGAAATGCCAAGAACTTCGAATCCGCAGGATGTCCAAGTTTAGAGTGCCAACGTGCTGAAGAATCAACTGCATGCTTCGCCGAGAATGCCATCGGATGACCCCCATCGAAGACTCGCAAGTAATACAGTTCATCATGGTACGTCCCCGTCCCAATCAGCCTCTTGGAGCACAAGTCCTGAATGACACAAAAGTTCTGTAAGAAGATTACGACAACAAAATTGTCTGCAGTGAGTCGACTAACTGATAATAAGTTGCACTGAAAATCCGGAACGTGCAAAACACGATGGAGAACCAGTCCATTAGATAATTTAGCAACACCTATCCCTCGAACTGGAACCCCTTTGCCATTAGGGATCCAAACCTGCAGTAGTGAGTCCGTTTTCATCTCACCCACAAACAATGAATTATCATTACCAATATGCTCATTGCAGCCTGAGTCGATAATCAAGGACTAATATCAGGAGGTTTGGGGCGAATGGAAGGCATACCTGACATGTTTACCGCCATGCTGGCGGCTGGTTGAGAATCAGACCGAGGAATGCACAGAGTTGTGCGACTTGAGCAGGAGTGAGCACAGGGATTGGGCTGGTGTCACTTTCGACGATAGCATCTTGAGGATCGCTGCGTCCTGACTTGTTTCCTTGGCGACGAGGTTTGTCACCTTGCCCCTGTTGACGCGAGGGCCAGCCATGAATTTCATAGTATGGTGCTTTGAAATGGCCTCGCTTTTGGCAATGGACACAGAAGCGACGTCCTTCTGCAGTACGTTCGCGCCACTTGCTGTGAAATCATGCTCCCCCTTTCCCTGAAAAGCGGCAGCTTCCACGCGAGGACGTGAATCAGAAAGAAGTCGTTGTTGTTCGTCGTTGGCAACCATGTTGTAAGCTTCACCAAGACTGGGGATCGGCTTCAAGGAGAGAAGTTGGGTTCGGACCACTGAAAACCCTTCATCGAGCCCGAGAAGAAAGTCTAGCTAACTCATATCTTCATGGGAAGCACGAGTGCGTCGCTCAACATCGCATTCGCACTTGCCACAGGTACACTTTGTTGGTGGATCGAGTGTGAACCAGTCATCCCACAGCCGCTTCATCTTGGCATAGAAGGAGGCAACACTTAGCTTGTCCTAACGAAGGCTCGTGATATCTCTGCGGAGCCGATAGCGACGGGGAAGATTCCCCATGCCGAAGCACTCCTTCAGCTCATCTCATATCTCTTTTGCTATAAAAACACGTACTAAGACTGCTACGGATTTCTCGACTCATAGCACTGTGCAACCAACCAACAACCATGACATTACAGCGGTTCCAGGCAGTTAGCAACTCGCCGGAATCAGGTCGTTGCACAATACCAAGAACAAACCCTAGTTTGTTTTTAGCGATGAGAGCATTGGATATTTCGGCAGACCACTCACCATAGTTGAGATCAGTTGGCAAGTCGCCGACAAACACTTGACTCGGGGCATCGGAGGGATGCAAAAATAGAGGAGATGGTGGAAGGATAGCATCTGAGTACAGGGCCTCGACGCTCTTCTTCTTTGACGATCAGTCTTCGCCCATGATTTCCGTTGACGAGGATGAGATAAGTCAGCGGCTGAGCTAGATAGCGAACAGAAAAGCTAAACTCTAATGAACCGAGGTTAGCTCTGATACCATAATGAATCCAAGATCGCGGAAGAACACAACGTAAAGAAGACACGTGATTTTACGTAATATTCTCATTCGTGACTTGAACGAGCCTAATTCAAGGTGAGCTCGAAAGAGCTCACGAACTGAGAATATTATTTCCTTCTTCGATCTGTCTAGGTTATAGAGAAGTTAAAGTGATGGGGTTATCAACATACTACTTAGCCTTTTGATATTGACTGAAGAGACAAAGCCCTACTCTACTGTTACGTGAACAATAAGTAACATGAAAACTAGAGATGCCATGGGCTGGGCTGGGCCGGACCAAAGCACCCGGACCGATGGGTGAACATAGAAAACTCAATAATTTAAGCTATGAAACGAAGGGTTGAGCTTTGTGGCGCAATGGCGCTCCACCAATGGAGTTAATGGCGGCTCGCGGTTTGACTCCCGTCTCTTTTGTGCCTGCCCTCGGCGGCGCAAGTGTGGCGGCTGGTTGGATTCACGGCACGATTTTCGGACAACTTTGTGATGAAAGCCGTAAACTTTTTCAAGGTTGCGTAGATTAGTTACGTCGTATTCTACAGAAAATTGATAAATTAGGTCACAAAGAGAGAGCTTAGTAGTGCTTATCTTGTCTCTGGTATCAATTTGATGTAGTGTCTAGTGTTTAAGAAGTAGAATTGGAGAGTTGGAAGTAAAACCCAAGAGATTAGAAGAAGAAGAAGAAGTGCGTCTAGAGAGGCCGACAGAAAGAAATGGAGAAGAAAGGGATTTAGGAAAACTTGTGGATTATATTTAACCAATGTATTTGGGTTCAGCTTACTACCCCTTCCAGCCCGTCTCAGAACGGATTTGGCCACACGATTTAGTCGAAAAAGTTGAGATGATACAGAACCCAAGCTTCACTGCACCAAATAATAATGAACTAGTGGTCTGGTGGTAAACGATTGCAAGAAGACAGTGAAGCCATGTTAAGGTTAGGCTACTAATCGAGTCTAAGTCTTTGCCAACTAAAGAATAATGGAATACATCTTTCTCTTTTTTCCTCGAAGGCATGGTACAGCCTGCTCGTTTGCACATGTAGAAAAGATGCGCAGAGAAGCAACCTTTGCCCCATGCCCTGTCAAAAGGGGATTTCTTTCTTTCCCTCCACAACAGAATAGAAGAGAATAAAACCTTGCACTTTAGACCATTCCCCATACTAGTTATAGACAGTTATGAAGACCAATGATCAGGAACCGTGAGGAAGTAGGAAGTCATTGCCTTTCGAAACCTCTTCTTGTACTGTTTCGGGGAGATGATGGTGGGAGAGGCATTCTTCGGGCCACCAAGTATGCCTGATGCCTTCACCCACGTCTCCAAATGCTTATCCCATGTATACTGCCTCATGAAGTCGATGATCCCTAACACCAACTCCTTCCGCTCTTCGTCCACCCCAACCAGCAACGAGTAGTCCATTACATCGACCGACTGCCCACCAAATCAAACAACAAACCATCACTAACACTGCAGAAAAAAAACTTGATGCAGGATTTCGCATTTACTATGGCGACAGAAGAAAAGGGCACAACTACTTTAACTTACCGCTAGGAAAGATGTATCATTCCATATAGCTCTCTCTAGGCTTCTTTTAGCCTTGCTCCCCAGAAATATAGGCTCTGTCCGCAGTTTCTCCACCAGATTCATATCCAGCAATACCCCGGAACTATCAGGATTGTAACGAGATCGTGCAGAGCCCTTAAGATCGTAGACCCTAGTAATAGTTCTGTTGAAAAACAGGTTCTCCATCACCATTAAATCCATTTTTGTCTCCTTGCCACTTTTCAAGTGCTTTACAGCAACCTGCAAAAGCAAATAAGAAGATTACTGCGCATGAGGCATTGGACTCTTTGTCTTGTATAGCAAAACAGTAAATCCAAGGTGAAGGTAGTTGGTCAAACCTGGTAAATGCCAAGAATTTTTGCGAGGCAAGTTGGACTTCCAGAGGAAAGAGAATCCGTTAAGTATTTGAAATACTCTGGTGCAAATTCCTCAAAGGACTCCAACTCCGTCTTCTTCACTTGTTTTATGATGAATCTCTCATCCAACGATTTGGCAAAGTAGACATTGCTTTTCCCACCCTGTGCACTCCATTTCTGGCAGCGACTCAAGGACCGTACAAAATCCACATCGCTAGGGCAGCATTTCTTCCTCAAGGAGTCGAATTGGTTTGCAAAGTAGCAGGTCACAGAGTACTTTACTTTCCCTTCAATACCAGAAGAGTCGCTGTAAGAAATTGCAAAATGTGGGGATCGCTTGGAATCTGTGAACAAGTTACCGATGGAAGATTCAGATCCATAACTCATATATTCAAAGTCCACAGAACCATAAGATCGCCATCCTGAAACCATGGAAGCACCAGCTGAATCTTCTCTGCCCACGATACCTGCATTGCATTTTCCTTCAATCTCATTTGGCCTGTTAGCCGCTACCCAATCCTCGTGTTCTTTCAAATTAAGAGCATAAGATACTATGCTGGCAGGATCATCATCATAAACACCAATGACTGTGTCGCCATCATGAGTCCTCTGAGGAATCAGCAATCGTGCTCCTCCAGCCATTTCAGATGCACAAGAAATAAATGAAGGCGTTGTGCTCAGCAATGAATTCAACTTCTGCGCCCCCATAGGGAAAGCTTGAGAGTAACTTCTCATAGTGCTTGAGACAGGATCTCTCACCATAGTCCTGTAATCTCCAGATGCATGAAATGATCGGAGATTTGAAAATGGCAATCCCTTCCTAATTCGTTCTTGGACTCTCAATGCAGAGTCAAAAGAATTAACTCTCACTGGTCTCATCATCTTTCTCAGAGGAAAATCAGTAGCCACCCCAATTAGCCTATCCTTCTCAGAAAAGTCTAATTCCTGAGCCTTTATAGCACGTTGATCAGTACCGGTCCAAGCAGAATCAATTCTGTCAGACAAATAGGATGCATCACAGGAAATGTCATCAGCAACAATAGTCTTGTTTATAATAGGACCATCAGAATGTGCATTATCCTCTTTCTGAATATGATGAGAAGATTTTAAATCTTCAGGAAGCAATTGGTGGAGACTAACTCCCTGCTCCAACTGGTGATTGCTCTTGGCAGAGTCACACGGTTCTTCTAAACATCCTGATGAAACACTGCTTGCGTCCATTAGTCCGGTTTGAGATACAACCTTTCGGTTAGAATGAATAGTCACATTTGTTTCAAGGAGGGAATCAATTGAATAAAGCTGACGATCCCAGACACGTGAACCAATTAAAAGAGAACGTCTTGAACGGTTGAGCTCCAAAATGTCCACACCTGCCTGACCCTGTGGTAGATCCTCCATTATAGCCAGTTGTAGCATTCCCTATTTGGAGATGGATGAGGTCATTCAGGACTTGAACAAAAGGAAAACGCATAGGGAAATTGGAAAAAACCCACCCACAAGTTTAATTGGTCAAAAAAATTTAAACTCATGTTAATCAAAAGGGTTCCACAACCAGGAAGCCCATTCCACATGGCAAGAGCCTGAGGCCCTAGGTGTACTTACAGTATAGTTGTTCCTTTCCTTCATAAGTTGATCTTTCAGTTCAAGGATATGACTCTGCAACTCAGTTGCCTCAGACAATTGGCAACCAAATGACTTACTTCTCTCTTCCATGTTGTCAAGCACATCAGAAATCTCCGAGTAGAAGTTTTCCACTTTGCTCAGAAGCTGTATGAGAAGAAGCAAATGTAAGAATAGTGCTGACCTGATAAAATAACCAAGGTTATATGTTTTTATCTCACTGCTTGTCTGTCCCGAAAATTTAGCAAAAAGAAAATTAATCCATCTCCCAGTCACCTCTGCTGCCTCTTTTCTAATCCATTCTTGCTGACTGTGGGCATTGAATTCCAATACTGACGGTGGCAGATGCACATTAAGAATATCAACAGGAGAATAACGAAAGAAAGCAACCATGCTCCCAAACCTGTCAGGCAAGATAACTCCTATTACCACCGGAAAATTTGAGAAGCAAGTGACACAAAGTAACTAGTTTCAACCCTAACAGAACTTACCCATAGAACCGAAGACAGTCCCTCTGTAATGAATGACCGCAAGGTGCAACACGATTAGCAGTTGCATTGTTTGAAAAGCTCAGTTCCAAGAACTTGCCAAATGAAAGCCCCCAAGCAGCATCTGACATAACTACCCTACGCGTCGATGGTGGAACTCCATCCACATGAGTACACCTTAAGCATCTATGCCACATCCATATTTTACCTTCTTGTTCTCCAGGCAACCTAACAGAGGGAAGAGATCTCACATTAATCGTAAGATTCCCTTGCTGGTGAGTATAACACAATACATGCGCTTCAGCTGGCTCCTTACAATGCCTACAGTAAGATGTCTGGCAAAAAAAATTTGTATCAGTAAATGACCTGCAATATGCAACACACTGCCATAAGGCACACATGGACAACAAACCTTATAGTAGGACAATCACCTGATCAAAGAGGTCATCACGGAGATATCTTCCAAGCGGCTTATCAAACGATCCATAGAACTTAATGCGCAAGAGCCGAGATCGTTCGCATACAGTTCCCTTCAGTACACAGCGGCTTGAAAATGATACCAATATGCTCTGATAAGTATCAGATGCTGAAAAGTAATCACTAGAAACCCCATGTTCATCAGTCCTCTGAGATTTGTCCAATTGCAGAGTCTCACCAACTTGCCTCTGCTCATGGGTCACAATATCTAACAGGTCATGCTGTGAAAGAGAATTAACATCCACACCAGCAACTCCAGACATGTTTCGCTCAACACGCTCACGATGACCAAAGTTTGTTAATACTGTGTTAGATATAGGATTGGGGCATGAATCAGGGAGTGCATCTTCAAACCTAGGATTCACAGAACCAAGAGACTGGGTGCCAAATGCATCAATTTTTTCAGACTCAGACTCAAATCCAGTACAACCATTCTCTTGGGGTCCAAATTCTGCTATTCCGTCCAAGTTGGTTGAAGGAACAACTAAAATCCCGTCATCAGCGGTTGTCCTCTCTGGCATGGTACCCAATTGATTAATTTTCATCTTAGGAAGAGTTGCACCTTCATCAGCAAGAAATGAAGTCTGGAGAGACAAATGATATGCTGCAAAAACCGCATATTGCACAACATGCTTGACTTTCTTGAGTTCTTCACGTTGATCGCCCCTCAAGAGGACCTAGAGACAGAGCAAAACAATATTAGGGCGAGGAGAAGCACATGAAAAGGTGCATACAGATCTAAGAAACATGAGTAAGAGAAATGGAGAAAAATACCCAACCAAGACCTAGTTCTAGACATCATATAGTGGAAAATATATGCATCGATCAGCTTCATCTTTGTTTTCATAAAGCAAAAGCCTTGGGAGGTCTGTGTTGTACATGCACCGAACAATGTAGCTTGATCTCCCTACCCCATCTCTCACACACACATCTAGGAACCCAAAAAGAAAACAGGAAAATCTCGGTTCCAGCTGCAACCCTACCCACTCAGAATAGATCAAGGCAATGGAGTATAAATAGCATGAAGTGGAATACGCTACCGTGCAGCCCAAACGCCTGGGACATCCTTCAAAGAACATCAAAGTCTTGGACGGCTTCTTGTTGGACTGACTAGCAGGTTCATGTTCTTCCAAAAAGCGCTCCACCCGGAAGAGTTCACAGTTACCCAATCGTGTAGTTGAAATTGTATCTATTGATGGACTAATAAGAGCACCAGTGCACCGTGCTATGCACTCCATCAATGGCTTCTTCACATTGGGCACCAAAGAAATTTCCTTTGTTAACAGATATTCTTGGGCATAAGGAGATACACTTTTCTCTACTAGCAGAACATTAGGGCGCAGAGCTTCTATCTTGGAAATAATCATCTTGAGATGGTCATTTTCCTACACAGAAGACCGCATACCGTTATTGCAAAGAGCAGATGGAGAGCTTGCAGAACTAAAAAATAGCACAAGAGAAGATTGGAAGGGAATGAAGGTGTCCAATCCTGACACAATCACTACCCTTAATTTGGACAGCCATTGGCACCCTCTTCTCCTCAACCACTCCTTGGAAGCAAAATACATTGACAAACACATGCACCCATACAAAGTAGTGGACAATGAATAGAGAAATACAAGATAATAGAATCCAACAAGGAACAGTACCTCTTGTACCAATGTATTAAAGGATGCCAAATGGTTTATAACACTTCGATATTCCAGAGCTCCCCCAAGAAGAAGCAATCTGGGATTTTTGTATTGTGTGGTCATACGCTTATGCTTTATGTTTTTTGTACAAACGACTCCCCTTATAAGGGCACTGCAAGAAGAGATGAAAATTGCACTTTCAGATTTGTATAAGAAATGTAATCAAACTTAAGTATCAAATTTCAAGCAAATAGGAGATAATACCTATCAACTGGAGTTCCGGATGCTATACATTTAACCTTTACATAATCAACAGGGTCCATACTGCCGCCTCTGCTAGTATCTGGTTTCACAAAGTTTGCAGCTTGCCAAGCTAATGAGGTAACTATATCCAACCAATCTTCACTGCTATCAACCCCACTGACATTGATTCCCTCTCCCTGTAAAAGCTGGGAAACCAGAGCCCTAAAATGCCCCTGTATTACAACTTTAAGGGGTTCTTTGTTACCCTCATTTTGTCTTTCCCTTGTTGAAAGGGTACGTGAAAGGCTACTGCTTGATGTGAAGGTTACACCTGAGTCACCGATATAATTGTCATCGTCGTCATCATAAGCAAAGAAACTACTTTCAGCCTCATCATTTTCATCCTCAGGGAGAGGGGGGAACCAGATAAGCCCATTGCTTTCAAAATCCCATAGTTTATGGGACTTTCTGTAGTCGCTCCTTGAAGTTGAGTTGTCATCAGAGCAATCATCCACATTGTCTGGATCTGCAGATCCTTTATCAGGCCTTCTCAAAGCAGCCGTATTTGCTTGATCCAAGGGACCATCTCTGAGGGACAAGGGGCTCTCTTCCTGCCCCTGCCTACTATAAGAAGTAAAACCAGTTCCAGATGGGCTGTCAAATGGACTTGAACCCACTGATTTGAAACTGCAAAACTCAAGCCTAGCACTAATACTACTCGAATCTATATCTAATGTGTCATTAAAGTATTCACTGGATGGGCTGTAAAAGTTCTTCTCAACATCCTCCATGTCCTCTTCATCTCCCCTGCATCAATAACAATATATGCAAGGACACATAAGCTAAAAAATATAGTTATAGGTAGAGCAAAAGGGAGGGGGAATTAAAAACCGTGAGAAGAATGTGACAACTCTTCAGCGCACTGTAGAGTAACTTGTAAAAGCAATTTCCTCTACCTGTTAGGAGAGCAGCGAACAGAAGCAAGGCATGGATGAGGGCTGAAGGCCGTCACATTGTTGCTGGTTACTGAATGGGGAGAATATCCACAATCCCGCGATTCAAGAGAGCAGGCAAGACGATCAGACTGACTGGATTCACCGCTAAAGGAAGGTGAAGGAGGTTCAGGGCTTTCACGGGGAGAGTTAGCAGGATGCACTTTCTCACTGATCTTTGTCCTGCCATCTGGGGTGGTTATAGGCAGGCGACAAAACTTGCATAATTTGACAGTTACCCCAGAATCAACAGCAGTAATTTGACTGCCAGTAGACTCAAGGTGAGACACAAGTGCCTTGACGCATTTGAGACACAACCATCGGCCACAGCTATGACAATAGTACCCATTAAAGAGCTCACTAGAACTTGTATTGCACTCGGAGCACATTCTGACACTGGTGTGGAGCATCTCAAATTCAGAGGACACAGGAGATGATGATAACTCGCTTCCTCCCCAAGCAATCCAAGACCTAACTTTCTCCAGTAGATCTAGTAGTGAACTATCTGGTATTCCCATAGAACAGGAAACAACCCTCGATAGCAGGAAACCCAGTATACAACCTGTGTTTCCTGTTCTTCTAAAAATTGGGTATTCTTTACTCTTTTCTTTTCTTTCTTGTCAGGGATCAAAAGAAACAGAAAAAACTCTCAGTTGGTCGACTCAAATTAGGTATAGTTGGTTAAAACAAAACGAAGGATGAGAAGAAAAATTGTAAGAAGGACAACCCACAAAACTAAAATCCAGTGGGATGACTACTGGGTTGCGTTTGATTCTTTGACATGAATGACTCTAAACACAGCAGTGATTTCCAATCAGGGAGATGATTTTTTGGACATAAATGACTCTGTTTCAGATCCGCCAAAAAACCGATGTGAGACAGGGAAAGAAAATCCTCCTAGAATCTCAAAATACTTCAAGGAAGAAGGGTATTTTTCTTTTTCTCCCCAAGAAATACACCCAAAATAAGGTTAAATAAATAGCACCACAAAAATCCGACGCTATTTACACCAAATCGTGGAACAAAAAGCTTGACCAAAACAAATCACAGCACAAATCACAGCAGAATAGATCCTCTCCCTAGAAACCTCAACCGATCCCAAGATTCATCAATAATCCTATCCTTGGATCAACCTGAGCCGACGAGCCCAGCATATATCAGACGGAGTAGTACCAGGGAGAGCCGAAGGGAATCTAGATGAGAGAAGAACAAGAAGAAGAAGCAAACAGGAGAAGGAAGGAAGGAGAAAAGGGAAGTCGGGATTTAAAAAGGGGGAAGAATGAGGATCAAAAGCAAGAAAATGAGGAGTACGGAGAAGTTTCCCTTTCTAATGGAACTCGCACGCATCTCGAAGTCGCTGCTCTTCTTCACCTTCTTCTGCGACAATCTATCTTTCTTCGTCTCCTGCGAATGATGATGATGGTGGTGGTGATACTATTAACAATACTGCAGCTGTAGCAGCCATTACTGCTTTTCCCCCACTAGCAGCAAACCAAGGACTTTGAAAGAAATACAACAACTACTGCTGCGCCCATTTTCTATTCCCCTCCCCCTTCTTCCGCCACTTTTCAGCACTTTACTTCCATTATAAAATTCCGCTTTTTTCAATGAAACAAGCCCCAAGTTTAAGCTTCAAAATCAACACCAGACCAGACGCTACCCACTAGAAGAGAAGAGACGAGACTCTCTCCTTTCCTTTGGATTTGGATGGGGTGTTGGGGATTTGTCAAAAAGGTTTCTCTCCTCTTCTCTGCTGTGCTTTGGTTTGTGATTGGGTGGGGATGATAGGTTGCTAATCCTAATCAAACTTTTCTTTCACTAGTTTAAGTTGCTTTTGTTTCCATTCCACCTCATGGGGGCATGCTTTTTTTCTTGTCATTAGTCAGCATCCGCGTCATTAACGGGTCAGACGATAGAATTGAAGGGTGTGAGTGTATAGAATAATATTTAAAAGTTTAACCACATGTCTTATGTAATCCTATTCTTTTTTTACGGGTTTGGTGTTTCTTGTATTGGTTTATGATGGTTGATGAAATCGTACCGAAAACCATATTGAAAAAAATTATTGGTAGGGCATTTTATGGCAAAATTGTGGTTTAATCGTTAGTATTGTTAAATATCGTCTACTGGTTTAGTCTTCGGTATTTATATTTTGTTGTAGAACCGTTGGTATGGTACGGTTTCATAAACCATGTGATTTATACCTTCGTGTTGGTTTAGCTAGTGGATGGTTTGACCGGTGATAAATCATTTTAAATAAAATAATAAATATTCATATTTAAATACAACATTTAATATAAATATCTAAATATTTATACTTCATTATCAAATAACATTAACTTTTAACTTTAAAAATTCTTAAAATAAATGATTAATTAACTTTTAATTAATTAAGTTCACTAAAACTTCGTCATTTTGCTTAGAAGTCATAAATTGGTCAGGTCGGTTTTATGACCGACACTGGTTCAACCGGCCAGCACAACAATAGTATGACAACCATGATGTACACAATTCAAGTATTTTAAAAAAATTGTTGTGTTTTCGTGTTAAATAAAAAAAGGTCATATATTTTGAATTTGATATGACATTCTAAATACTTCATATTTCACCATTTACGGTCTCAATAAAATGTTGGGTTTGTTGAGATTTTGGTTTCATACAATGAACCCAACAATATTTGATTTTCTTTGTTTTTAGGGTTTTCCATGTTGTTTGTGCAAGACTAGGAGTAGGGAAGCTTACACAATGATTAAGGGGGACTTAACGTTGATTCGAACGGGAAAGGAGTCGTTTTCTACTAAAATGGTTAATCTGATTGCAAGTAGGTAGCAAGGAGAGTTCCCCAAATAGAGAAAATACAAAGGTGTTTCTAGAGAGAGCCCAAAAGTCCTCTTCTAAGTGTAGTAAATGCAGTATTTTATAGCCTCCTTTGGTTTGGTGAGTGAATCCCGGTGACAAGACAATGAATCAGAGCAGATACGCGAGCCCCACAGACAGTTCTTCCGCGAATCTCATTGGGGGGCTTAGGCTTATCGTGGTATTAAGTGAGTGAGCGGAACAGCTAAGCGCGGCACGTGCGCCCCACCCCACGCACCACGTAAATCGCTTTGTGTTCTGTCTATGTTTGGTTTGTTTACATACCCGATTTGAGTTCTTAACATGAATTGGCCCTAGTGTAACAGACGAGCCAGGAGATTTGGCTAGTGAGGTCGATGATAAATGTTCTTCTGGTGGGAGGGGTTCCAGCATGGAGGTGGTTAGGATCTGGTTGGTGGAGCAGTCTTTGGAGAGCGGTAGGATTAGTGATTTGGGCTTGCCTTGTTGTTCCAATTGGGACTGAGAGAAGGAAATAAAAAGAGGAAGGTGATGAGTGCAAACTTGGTGAAGGGAGCAATTAATGGAAGAAACTGATACGCGGTTTGTGCAATATTTCCTCTAATTTAATCTATTTTTTCTTCCCAATCCAACCTTGATGATAGGGATAAGAATTGGGTGGATTGTGTGATTTTTAGGATAAACCTTGATAAGAATCCCGAACTCGTGAAACTTAGGTTCTTTTGTCAAAGTCGCGCAGCCTCAATCAAGCTTGGGTAGCTTGATTCGATCTTCAAACAAAGAGAAAGGCAAAGGGATATGTGGGGATATATACTCGCCATAATCAAGTGTGATCGCTTGATTGTAAGAGTCTTGCCAAGCTCTTCTGGAATCTTCAACAGAAAAACTGAAACAATGATCTTACCCTAGCTATGAAATCCACCAAAAGCTAAAACAATAACCACAAGCACTCATGCTCCATGGGTGAAAACACACCTCGCTGTAAAATTCTTATTAAAAACCTAATCTGTAAAATTCGTGTTTACAACCCTTTATATAGCCAGGGCAAATAAAATAATCAAAAACCCAAAAAGGAACAAAAATCTAAACCTAAAAGGAAGGCCAAACTCGGCCAGACCCGAAACCCGGTCCAAATACCCGGTCGGGTATTTACAGTCACTGGCCGGGGAAAATCTCTAGAGCCAGAACCCGGTTGCCTCCCTTGATTCCCCGGTCGAGGAACTGCAAGTTTCTGGCCGGGTTTTTACTGTTGCGGGAATCACATCAACCCCTCCCCGTTGAAGAAGCTTTTCACTCAAAGCTTTCCGCCCTGGCTTCCAAACGAAATTTCTTGTTTAATCAGCACCAAGAAATAACGAACATTCTGTACAATTCCACGGAATCAAGAGCTCAAACAATCGATCAAACATGGGCTCTAGTCCATGAGCTTGGAAGTGCAAGCCATCCTTCAATCCGCTTGCTTTGGATTTGGCGCACAGAAGCTCCAGAATCCAACTATGTGTCTTGATCTTCATTGACGGTAGTGATGGCTTCAAAACTTGTAAGCTTCTACAAGGGAGAGCATCATCATAATAATCGTAAAAAGGATTGAGATAAGACATCTGTGCCTTTTCTACCACGACCATCTCGTATAATTCTCCAGGCTCCTTCTGCGGCTCCAGTGTCGGAGAAACCACTATGTTTCCTTCAAGGAACTCGTCAAAGCCGGTGGCCTCCTTCGGCTCGTCCTCTAGCTCAACGTCGACTTCCTCATATTTCGAACTCTGTTGCACCAGAGAACTTGTACTTGAACTCGATCTTTGCTCAACTATGTGTTTGAGCAAAGCTTCCACCTGCATTATCTGTGCTGCAAGCTGTGTCAAGGCTTCTTCTTCATACTCTCGCTGTAATCGTTGCAAAGCCTTCCAATCATCAACAACTTCCTCTAGGGATAAAGGTTTCAAAACGAATACCTTATTCTGATGCCGCAATCGAAAGATTTTGGACCTTCTGCTAACCAGATGAACTCAACGATCTTGGAACCAGGCTTGTCCCAACACAATATGATTTGTAAGCTTGGACACCATGTCGCACAAAACCGTGTCTTGATATCTGCCAATCGCAAACTTCACAGAAACCTATCCAACCACGATGTTGGAAATCTTCTCACCAGGAAACTATAACATGTATGGAGATGGATGTAGACGCATTGGCAATCCCAATTTCGACACTTTTCTTAAACTGGTCAAATTTGATTTGATCCCTCCATCTACAAGCATAAAACACAACTTCTATTGAACCAAACAGCGAGTGTAGAACAGGCTACCTTGCTCTATTGCTTCTGACATTGCTAGGTCTTCTTCTTTTGTCTACTGATTTGAACGGGGCTCTGATACCTCTTGATAAGAATCCCTAACTTGTGAAAGCTTAGGTTCTTTTATCAAAGTCGCGCAGCCTCAATCAAGCTTGGGTAGCTTGATTCGATCTTCAAACAAACAGAAATGTAAAGAGATACATGGGGATATATACTCGCCACAATCAAGTGTTATCGCTTGATTGATAAGAGTTTTGCCAAGCTATTTTGCAATCTTCAATAGAAAAACTCAAACAAGGATATTGTCGTAGTTATGGAATCCACTAAAAGCTAAAACAATAAGCACAATCACTCATGCTCCATGGGGGGGAAACACACCTCGGTGTAAAATTCTTATTAAACCAAACCTAATCTATAAAATTCGTGTTTACAACCCTTTATATAGCTAAGGGCAAATAAAATAATCAAAAATCCAAAAACGAACAAAAACCTAAACCTAAAAGGAAGGCCAAACTCGGCCATACCTGAAACCCGGTCCAAATAACCGGTCGGGTATTTACAGTCACTGGTCGGGGGAAATCTCTGGTGGAACCAAAACTCGGTTGCCTCCCTTGATTCCCCGGTCGGGGAACTGTCAGTTTCCGACAGGGTTTTTACTGTTGTGGGAATCAACAACCATCATCATTTGTTTATATATTTAAAAAGTGCATTAGTAGGATTTGAGCCCTAGTCACTCAAATAAAGAAAGAGCACTTAACCAATCAGACTAGATTAGTTTTGTTGTCATTCTTTAATTAATCACAACTCATTGCTTTAAAGTTGAATGAAAAAACTACAACCCCCCATTTCAAATTTCGTGGACGGGGAGCGATTTCAAGAAGCTTCATTTAGTAATTGTACATTATTTGGTTATATAATAAAAATTTGATCATTGAGTTTTGGAATCATGTTACTCAAATGAAGAAAACGTATTATAAGTGTATAAACAACTAGACTACAAAAGATAAACGTATATCACCCATATTATTAAAAAAAATAAAGTAAAAGCAACTAAACTACATTGTATTTGTAGCAATTTCTTTAATTAAACGCTAGAGACATATTTAGTATATGATATTTTATATGAATTTAGTGATATCTTATAGAATGAAATTAATTCTGAAATCAAAACTCAAGTAACATTTGATTATTAAATATTCATTCATATGTGTTGGTTAGTTAAGAGGGACAAATGAATAGTCACATGACCTCTCATTCCAACTCATTTTCTATCTTTTTTCCCCCGCTTCTTCTCCATCTCTCACCATCAATCAAAATTCAACCCAATGTTGGCTCTCATCTAGCAACATATTTGAGTTCAATAAAACATATGACAAAGTTCTTTCAATTGCCAGTTTCATTTCAAATTCCCTGCATCCTGAGCGTTTTGTGGAGGGACAGTTTCGGAAACTGTTTATACAACGGGAAGAGAATCATTGCAGCTGAAATGAAGAAGAATCAGTCGGGCGACAGGCATAGAGAATGGACAAACACCGGTGAATCTCGAGATCTCGCTACTGGTAATAGAGGCTTTTGGATTTGCAACAATAGAGAAAATGATGCGAAGAAGAAAAAAAGATGAGAGGAGTTGGTGTCTATTGAGTATGGAAAACTTTCTGTCGGGCGTATGAAATTAGAGTGTTGAACTACAGAGGTGAGCTTGTGAAGGGGGAAAATTGAGAGAAGAAAGTGGGTCGAAGATAGCGAAGGTCGGACGGAAACCGTCAGCGCAATGGGA